GATACTTCCAGACGCTCGAGTTATGTAGGTCACCGCCTTTCTTCAAATCCAGCTCCAGTACCTCCACATCCCGACTGGGAAAATGCCATTTTTGTTTTCCCGAAAATAGGTGTACCACCACCCTTTTTGCTCGTGCCAGCCGTCTCCTTTTATGACGGTTGAAAGGCAACGCCGCAATATCTCCACGTGGCAACAGCTCCATCAGCATATTTTCTGGTATATCTCCATAATACCACCGAAGAAATCGCCAACATGCCTGGACGAACTCCTCCTCGTTCGCTGACGCTGTCCGCGCTGCGCTTTGCAACGACGCTTTTACGGCCACCTCATCGTCCGTATTCGGACACCCTTGAACCATACGTGCCACCTTCAATGCTTGCTTTGGTGAACACCAATCCATTTCATCAATGATCTGAAGCGCCACCTCCTTTTCCAAACAAGGGCACCCATTCAGATCACGAACGCGAAGTTCCCCCAGAACAGGATGTGAGGCTGTGCACTTGCCACCACGCCACTGAACTCTGAGACCAACCAAAGTGCTCGCTTTGCCAATTGGCACTAGTGGATCTACCATTTCAGGAGTTACCAGGGTCCCACCTGGGGTAATACACATCTCCCGAGATCCAACAGCTAAGGACACCAACACCTTTTGCTGCGGAAGCTGTTCACCAGGACGAAGTGATCTGAGAGGATGTGATGCTCCCGAGTCCAACATGCCCATTCCCGAACACTCATTGGTGTCAGAAACCCTGGCCACATGTAGAACGCATACTCCCCGGCCTTCTCCCTGCTTCGGCAACAACGTGGCATCAGACGAACCGACTCCACAGTCCGCCCTTCCATTCCTCCATTGAGAATGGGACCAAGACGCACGCTGCCTTTCAGCATGCAAAACCATCTTTTCCGCTGTTTTGTAATCCATAACCAAACAGCCATGTTCAAACCACAAGAGCTGGTCCAGCGAAGATTTTGCACCCACATGACACATCCCATTGCTCACGGTGAGGTTCGCCCCAAGCTCCAAAATCAACCAGAGAGGGATAATCAGAGGCCCATTGTCTTCCCTAATCAACGTCCCTTTCTCTGTAATCCTCATTGTCACACCACCAAGCGCGCTTTGCACCATAACAGTAGTGTCAGGTAAACATTCCCATGGAAAAAGCGTCCGCACAAGATGCGTAGCAGCTGTATCCACCAACGCCACTCTCCCTTCCTGCTGAAACAACCCAGAGCCACATAACATTCGAACACTGGGATCCCCGCTTGATGCTGACTGCGCTGATGACAGTTTCATAGATTTCAGCACCTCTAACGCTTCAGCAAGGACCTGATTGGGTGTTGATGGTGATGAGGGACTTGCAGAACCTTTCTCCAATCCCGCATTAGCCGTCTCATCTCCCCCTTCAGCCACCTCTGCCTTTTTGGCATTTCCCCATTTCGCACCTTTGCCGCCCTTTCCCCCTTTGGGAGAATTCCCTTTAGATCTATTCCTCTCAGGATGTGCGTCCACATTGGAACTTGCACCATCCTTATATGGACACTGCGGCTGTCGATGGCCAACGGCCCCACACTCAAAACATCTTCCACGCTCCAGGGAGTCTTTGTCATGGCGAAATTTGCAGCGTGATCCGAACTTGCAGCCTGCATCTGTCTTCCCATATATCCAACAGAATGGACGTTCACCATCACCGCTGTACCTTTTTCCTTTCCCTTTGCCTTTGTCACCCTCCTCTGTCTCGTCACCAGTTCCCTTCTGGGCCTTGTTTAACCTTGCCCTTTTCTTGGCGTCCGAGTCCTGCTTCACCTCTTGATCACCAGCACTATGCAATAGCAGTTCAAACTCTGCCTGTAACATTTCAGCTAGTTGTGTCGCAGTTTCAGAGGTCGGCGAGTAGTCCACCCCCAACTTTTCCCGAAAGGATGCCACTCTGAAATGAACCGTAGGGTGTTTTGCCAGCAGCGCGGATGATAAACCATCCAATCCCTTGATAAGCAAGGTAGCGTCCGGCTCGGCCGCTCTCAACTCCCTTAATCGGGAACGCCATTGCGCCCATTGACGCACTCCCTTGATGGCCTCTGAGATCGAGGTTGCTGAAGATGGTTGCACCAAGAAGTTCAACATTGTGCTGCGCTCATTTGCTCCACCTGGTTGGTAGACCGTCAGCAATTTGTAGAATATCATCACCGGCCCCAACATTCGAGTGGAAACGATCTCGGTCTTCAATCTCTCCGGAATCGCCTGCAGCAGTAAAGACACCGCTCTCTGCTCCAACAAAACATGCACCGTTCGAACCACCTTGAGCCCTTCCAGCTCAGCCTTGATGCCTAACCTTTCCAGCGGAGAAACACTCAACCATTTGGCATACGCCTGATACGCCTTTGAGTAGACGCATTGCCACCACACTCTTCCTGTGTCAGTCAGCGAAGACAACATTGGTTCGATCATTGCGATCCAATCACCTAGTGCCGTCGGATTGCTTGGTGTGTAGTCTGCCAAAGTAGGAAGGCTCATCACATGCTTCCCAAGAGCCTCCGGACGTTCAGTTCCAGAACTATCACCAATGGTTGGCGTACCACGTGGCACCACTGCTCCAGGAGGTAAGCTGACCCTACCGCCAGGCCCTTGAGGCAGTCCATGTCCTATACCAGGCGTAACAGCTGTGAGCGGAACCTTTTCTAATTCCAACTTCCCAGCGACCATTTTCCACCGATACGGAACATCATCCACCATTGTATATCCACCCGATCCTGCTGAGTTCTCTTGCGTCGCAGTTTCCCGAGCTGAAACAAAACCGGGCTGGTTCCCCATAGGTGCGGCAGAACCATCAGCACCTGACGGCAAGGAAGTAATCGGAACATGTGTTAAACCAGGTGGTCCACTTGCATATCCACCACTTGCAGGACCTCCCGTGGGGTAATTCAATGGAGGCAATCTGGAGGGTTTCTTCCCTTCAGCTACATGCATCATTGGCACTTCTTTTTCATCCTCCTCTTGAACATCCCCCTTTCTGGACCCAGGCAAGGATTGAAGATCACAACCCTTTGGTAGGTCGTAGCCCTCAATAGGCAGCCATGTCCCATCAGGCAACACAGTCCAAAAACCACCCATACCATCAGTGTAAAAAACTTGTCCTGGCGGGTACTGTTTCTCTGGAGTCATTCCCAAAGGATATGCAGCATTTGCGTCCACCACTCCAGTGCTCCGTGCTCGCGAAGCTGACCCAGATGCAGCAGAGGTATAGCTTTTCTCCTCCACCCGATGCAACCTGTTCCCCAGCTCCTTTGTTTGCGCAAGCAACTCCTCAAGCGCACGCTTTACCACTGCCATATCTTCACTTTGTTCTTCACCACTCACATCAGGAATGAGCTCTTCCTCTACTTGCGCTCCACCAATAGTACCTCGTTCCATCTGGCCCATTAAGCCTGACGATGGTCTCTCAACAGGTGCAGGTTCCTGACCCAGAAGATCTTGCAGCGACGGTGGCCTCCTCGTATTTTCACCACTTCTATCCCCTCCGCTCGCAGGAAGACTTGCCGGCCTTGATTGCCTCAGTCTCATTTCTTCTTGAGCCCGCTCGCTCCAGAAAGGATTTGCTGCTGGAACCGGAACCACTTCATTTTCCACCTGAGACGTTGGTTGTATCATTGCAACCTCCCTACCATCTGTCAGTGCTTGTACCCCTTGTTGTCGTTCTTCACCCCCATCACCACGATTTCCTTCGGCTTCATTGGCCGTGGGCGACAGTCCAGGCTCAGAGCGACGCCGCATCATGTCCATGGCGTTAAACAAACGAAAAATCTTTACCTATACCGCAGGAAGCCTAATTTGGGCTCATAACCTACGGGGGGCAACCGAAGGGGGACAAGGAACAAGACAGTCAACCCCAACCGAAGCCCTGGATTTACCCCTAGACCAACCAACCAAACAAACCAAACCCCAAACCAAGGGCACACTTTTTACGAAGCTACTCATTGAGTCTTGAGCCAAAATGGTTCCGGGTTCATTGACCCTTTAACCTTCAACACCAACTCTTTTCCACAATACAAACTGCATCTCCGCACCCTAAACCCTAAACCCACCCCGAATCTACCCTAAACCCACGCTAGACACCCCAAAGCCTGGGAGCTTTCGGCTGCAGTGGGGCTCAGTGTCGATGCCTGGGCTGAGGAATCCCCATAAGCCCCTCTACCCTAACAGAAGCCTGAGCCCCCAAAAGCCCCCCCAAAAGCCACCCAAAAACCCCCAAAAGTCCAGAGGCCCCAAGCTCTAAAAACTAAACCCTGAACCCTGAACCCTGAACCCTGAACCCTAAGCCCCTAAGCCCCCCCCCGAAACCCAAGAGGTGCCCCTTTGCGGCTTGCTGCGAGCTCCTCCTCCCTTTGGGGGTTTTGGCGCTTCTGTGGTGGGCCAAGTCGGAGTGCGCCAGCCGCTGGGCTCTGAGGGTTGAAGGTTAGATGGTTTTAGGGTTTGGGGTTTAGGGTTTAGGGTTCAGGGTTCAGGGTTTAGGGTTTTGGGTTTAGGGTTCAGCATCTCAAGCCCAAGCATGCGCTAGTCAAGCAAAGTGTCAAGTTGCAGAGAAATACCCACCCACCCGTTGGGTTCCACAACATTAGGAACATGTATGTTACTTTAAGTCGTATCTCAACCCAAAATGCCCAAGCCCAGTAACCCTTAAACCCCAAAGCTCCTACATCCTAAGGCCAAGGCGAGTAGGCCCCAAGCTTTAAACTGCCCAAGGCCCAATAAACCCGACGCCCACAGCCTAATAAGGCCAGTAGGCCCCAAACCCTGAACGCCTATCCATGTTTGATTGAGGTTTGGAGTTTAGGGATTTGGGGTGTAGAGTTTGGGAGTCTAGCTACATAAGTTTCCTTGAAAAAGGGCTTTGTGCATTTATGGTGGAGTGGGCTAGCCCCTAGACCCGCCCTCAGAAACCGAAGTCAATTTCTGAGGCAACGGCCAGTGTCAGATTCCTGTCTTGGAGGGCTATGGGGGGCACATGCCCAAAGGCAACCACAGCACCATCTGCGAAGAAGGCACGTGCTAAACCCTAAACCCTAAACCCTAAACCCTAAACCCTAAACCCTAAACCCTAAACCCTAAACCCTAAACCCTAAACCCTAAACCCTAAACCCTAAACCCTAAACCCTAAACCCTAAACCCGGGGGCACAGGGTGTAGGGGTTTATGGTCGGGGCATCTTCGAGAGCAAAAATTCAGGGCTGGGGATGAATCAACATCCTTTAAACTTTATTTAACATTTCATTGCAGTTTAGTTGAAATGAGTTCTTATTCATTCATTACAAAAAGCGAAAAGTAACGACATCTACTCACACATTGGGCAAGTAAGGTTAAACAGAAATTCAAATAGATTGCGGCAATTGGAAGTCATGTAATTGAACTAAGAATGAAGTCAAACTAGTTGCAACTATTCAAAATTAATTCAAAGTAACAAGAAAGCAAGATGGATGAACATCGAATTTCAATTTAAGTAGGGTATAATGACAAGTACAAGAATGAAATAATACTTTCAAAGTAAACTTGAAGCGAAAAAGGTAGAAGTCATGACAAGACATGAATATTAACTAACAAAGACATGAATATTAGCTAACACTAATGATTTTCTGCTATACATTTTGTTAGAGAAGAGGAGGCTATGGGGCCTGCGTTTTGGCATGCCACGCTTGCTGTTTATTCACCTTACTTAAACTGATGAAAAATGTTCAAGATCGGGGGTTTGGGGCCGGATTTCGCCAGATCCTCTGAGGGGTTTGGGGTTGGCCAAACTGCAGCAACACAAAACCTAAGCTTCTCAAAATGCGCGGCAATCCTCCAAACCCAAAGCCCCCGAATTTTCACCCCCGAGCCTTTTGCCCTGAGCCTTATGAATGCCGGAACGTTTGAAATGAAACGGGGCTTGTATGGTGTATATGGGGTTCTTATTCGTGAGCGTCTGTGTTGGGGATGACCTTTTGGCGATGAGGGGGGTTCATCGTCCGAACACCCCCACTTTTGCCTTATTTCTAGCAAGGTGGCAAGGGGAATGTTCAAATCGGTGGATCAGAGGCCATAGCTTCCTTTCAAAGATTCCGACACAAGGGTGGCTCGGAGGCACGGGGGCTCTGCACTTTGAATTCATCCACAAAGAAGCTCCCACAGCTCCCCACAGACTAGCCTTACACCAGCCCGAGATAACAGAGCCCAAATCCCTAGAATCCCTGAAGCCTCAAAACCCTAAAGCCGCAAGCTACCAAAAGCCGGAAACCCGCCTGAACCCCAAACCCGAAACCCTGAGCCACCGGCTTTGAATTCCACGAAGGCTTGCCGCTGCAGGCCTTCGAGGCTGGGTTTCAGCGGCGCTCTTCCTGCGACACGTGGTCTCAGCATTTCGAGCAGCCTGTGCCACCTGGAACGCAGTAGGGCGCCCTAAAGACCCCAAGCCCTAAACCCTCAACCTGAAACCCTCGGGGGCCTCGTGGGGTCTCGCACGCCAGCTTGAAACGGCACTTGCCATCACAGCTCCCAAGACCAAGAATACCTAGTCCTGCACCAGCGGCGCTGCTGGCTTTTTTGAGTTCGGTGCCCTTAATCCCTTAGAGGACCTTGCGGGCCTCGATTGAAGCCAATCGATCGTGATGCCTACACCTCAGGAAGACGCCCCCCAGTCGAGAAGAATTTCATCCCAGACTCCCAGACTAAACCCTTAATAGGCCTGCTGTAAGAATCGTACCCGCCAACACTACCAAGTGCACCCGGCGTGTAGTCCCTAAACCCTAACTCCTAGACCCACAAGACAGCACAAATAGAGATTGTATGTGGTATCCTTCTGAATGTCCCATGCTATTTGTCTAAGCAGCTGACAAGCCGAGCTTAAGTAAACTAAGAAAATTCATCCAAAGCGCCTCGGGAAGGGCCAATGCTCAATTCAAACCTGTGGGGCCTTCCCCTCCAAGCCCCACAGGCTCAAGTGAACTGATCCCAATTCCCAGCTGTCCAAGATTTTCGTTCAAACTTTCGTTCAAAACTTTCGTTCCAAACGTCATTTGGGTCCATACCCTATGCGATGTCTGTAAGACAGGGTTTTACGCATCCCCTGGACCGGACACGTTTCGTCTTGCACCCAACCCTGGGATTCCATGACTATGAAAGAATAGAGTCTGACAGAGAACTTTCATTATTGAACATGTTTCGTTGAAAGCGTTTCGTTGAAAGCGTTTCGTTGAAAACGTTTCGTTGAAAACGTTTGGTTGAAATGGTTTCGTTGAAAACGTCTCGTTGAAAACGGTTGGGGACCCAAACCCTATGCAATTTCTGCATCCAATTCTTGGCCGCTGATGCCAGTACTGTCGAGAACCATTCAAAATCACCAGAGGAATCACCCTAAGCCCAAAATCCTAAACCCTAAGCCCTAAACCCTAAACCCTAAGCCCTAAACCCTAAACCCTAAACCCTAATATGAAATCCTCACGTCCGGCCATGCTGCGCTTCCCACCCATGGGAAGCCTTCGTTGACAATTTTCGTTGGACAAGGGTTTAGGGTTTAGGGTTTCGGGTTTAGGGCTTAGGGTTTAGGGTTTAGGGAAATCTTTTCGTTGAGAATGCTTCGCTGAGAACGTTATTGGGACCCAAGCCCTAGACATAAACCCTAAACCCTACACCCTTGTGAAGCCCTGAGCCCTGAACCCTGAACCCGGAAACTTAAACCAAGAAACAAAACCCTGAATCCTCAGGCCCCTGGTCAGTATCCTCGCCTACCTTCACTGGACTGGCGAGCCTTTCGGCAGCTGAACCCGTTCAGGGTTCAGGATTTAGGGCTTAGGGCATTAAGGTTTAGGGTTTCGGGTCACAGGGGCCCAAACTTTCAGCAACCCTCCAGCACCCGAAAAACCCGCGGCATTTGTGGAAGAAGCACGGGTCCGGTCCTGGAGGCGCCTTGCGCTGGCCGCGGAGCACCCGTCCGATGTCCCCAAGCTCGAGAAGATGCGCCGGGAAGCCCAAGACATTCTCCGGGTTTTAGGGTTCTTGCCCTGGGGGGTCACTTGAAAGCGGATTCTATTATGTTTGGGGCATAAAGGGGCACCCCCCCAATTTTGGGAAATGCCCATGTGGAAACTTCTATTTTCAAGTTGGCGGTTTGGCAGTTTGGCAGATCAGGCACGTTTTGCAGCGTGCGGGGGCTTCCAGGCCTGAACTTCTGGTGCTGCATGCCGGTTTGCATCTTCAGGGCATGGGCTTGTTCATGTTCTTGAGTCGATGGCTTCAAGTTGCACGGGCAGCCGCATGCGTGCGAGTGACGCTTCAAACTCTTGTTGGGCTTGGGGGGGGGATTTTGAGGAGGCAGGCTCCGATCTCTGCCCACTCCACACCCCCAAGCAAAAGCGTAGATCCAAGGTCAGACAATCACTGAAGAGTGGTTCGGGGATCTACCCATGAAGAGCCTCGGACAGAATCGTTGGCTACTTACAAAAGGAAGCTCGATTGGAACCGTCCACCTCGAGCCGGATTTAGGGTTTAGGGTTGGGTTTGGGTTTAGGGTTTGGGTTTAGGGTTTAGGGTTTAGGGTTTAGGGTTTAGGGTTTAGGGTTGAGGGGCGTATTGTTGCTTGTCTGAGCGTTGGTTTCGGTGGTGGCTAGACTGCAAGACATCAAAGAAACCACGAGCAAGCTTTAGCCTGCGGGTACCAACGGTCACCCTGCATTTATCTTCGTTGTTGCTGTGCGCTCAAGCATTTGTGCAGTGTATGCTTGGGTCATGGTAGCTATCGTGTAAAGTCGCTCGCGGCTACCTCCAGCCATGGGTGGGTGAATCAAACAAACACCGTTACCTGTGTCATGCTGATCAATTTTGGTATGTCCGCCCTGCGCCTTTCATTGTCAAGGCTTTCTTTGAAGGTGATGGCTGCTGTGGAGCTCAACTTGCCAGAGTTGAGGATCGGATTCCGCCACTGAATCTGGTAACCACCTTCCCGTCCTTGGTTATTGGCGATGGCTGCTTAGAATTTACGTGGTGCGCTGCTTGTATGGTGCGAGCTACCGCCCATTTCGGGCTGGATGTGCAAACTTGCACCTGTTGGCAGCTTGACCACGCTTTTGAATTCAATATGTACAGGAGGGCAGCCAACACACGCCGCAGTTCTCCGGGCATTTGGTTGCTGTGGATTGCGGACGGGTTTGTGATGCGAACCTGCTTTCTGATAGCAGAGACTGCTACGGGCAGCCATCACATGACGCGGTGGCTTCTGCAAGCTGCCGCGTACCTCAATTAGCGGCCGCCTCCGCCGAGCGGCTGCTGCCAATGCTGGAGAGTGGGAATTTTGTGTGCAAGCCGGGGCAGTGTGGCAGCAGCTTTGATGTCTGCTGTGTGCCGATACGCATGCATTTCTCTACCTTCTGGATGCTTTCAACGGCGAAAAGAACACTCGCGATTGCTGTCTTGGCTCGGCGCCCCGGGTGTCCTCAGGGACCCTTGCGAGAGCGAGTTCTGCAACAATTAGGGTTTAGGGTTTAGGGTTTAGGGTTCAGGGTTCAGGGTTCAGGGTTTAGGGTTTAGGGTTTAGGGTTTAGGGTCTCCCACGAAGCGCATGGAGCCCAGGAACATCCCCTGCATTCCGCTGGAGAAAGACCTCCTGCAGGGCTTGGAGAAGCTGATGAAGCAGAAGACAGCGCCTTGAAGATGAATCCCAAACCTAGGTAGGATAAGCGTTTAGGGTTGAGGGTTTAGGGTTTAGGGTTTAGGGTTTAGCCCTTCTTAACCATCTTTTGGCTCTCTTAAGCAGGGACCTTATTTAGAGGGTCCATATCCCCCAAGGGTCCCCCTAATCCGATCCCCCCAAACCCTAAGGCTTCTAAGGCCTGAGCCCTAAGAGTTGGCTCGAGACCCGAAGCCTTGAACCTCTCCTTGTGTGGAGTGAGGGCTTAGGCGGCGTGGTGTTGCAGGTAACAACAACCCCACGCCAGCGGCCTCCGGGTAATCGAAGCACCGCCGGACACACCAGCCCTGTTTTTTGGGGGCCCTATAGACCCCCAATCCCCAAGCACTCTTTTGTTCTCTTTCTGGGCCGAGGAGAATTCAAGCTTGCCTTGTGACTTGGCAAACTTGAGGGTACAGTACCCGAACCCCGAAGGCCGAAACCCCCAAACTTTAGGCCCCAAACTGCAAACCCGATACCAAGGATCCGGAGCTTTTGGGCCTTCAGGTTCCTTGAGTACCCGAAACACTCCCCTTCAAATCCCGCAACCCTCGAAGAAGATAGCCAAACAGCCCCCCAAAAGTCCAAGAATCAACACGACATCCCTCCCAAAAGCCACGACGCCTCGAAAAAAAAACGTTACCCGCCAAAAAGGCTCGAAAAAGCCCCCCTCCTTTGAGGACCCTGAAAACCTCCCTAACCTCCCGAGGTCTCCATCACAAGAAGTACCTTGGGCTGCCTCTTCAGCGCGTGCGAGTTTCTGTTTTTGTTTTTTGCTCTTGGGGGTTTCTGTTAGGGGCTTTTGCGAGGGTTTTTGGGTTCTCATATTGTTTTTGAACGGGGGTTGTCAGTTTCCAGGGGGTTGAGGGCTCATGGTGCTCAGGGTTTGACGATTGAAGAGCGCTCAAGGCCACACAGAATGCAGGAGGATTATCGCTTCAACCCCAAACCTGAAACTGCCGTGTTCTCCCGAAGCACTAGACCCCAAAACTTGTCCCTAAACTCTACACCTTGTGGTGTTCGCCCTTGTCACCCTCATACTAACTAACAGTCCGTATTGGGGTATCTGGGGTGACATCCCAATGTACACCCTAAACCCTGAACCCTGAACCCTGAACCCTGAACCCTAAACCCGAAACCCTACACCCCAAGCCAGGAACCCAGGGGTGCTCCCGGGCTTCGCAAATCTGACTCACCCGCGAATCTTCACCAGCAGTGAGCTGGAGAAGTACCTCAGTCAGGTGCCTTTAGGGTTTAGGGTTTAGGGTTTAGGGTTTAGGGTTTAGGGTTTAGGGTTCACGGATGTAGGTTCTTTGTTAAGGGTTTTCAGGTTGTTTGGGCGCTGTAAAGGTCTAGGTTTGTAGGGCTTAGGAAAGTTTAGGGTTCATAGGGGTGTGTTTAGGTATGGGGCTCCGGCCTCGGGCTGGCCGGCCAGCCGGCAAACAGCATGTCATGACGCGCTTCCCTACATACCTAAACCCTAAACCCTAAACCCTAAACCCTAAACCCTAAACCCTAAACCCTAAACCCTAAACCCTAAACCCTAAGCCCTAAGCCCTAAACCCTAAACCCTAAACCCTAAACCCTAAACCCTAAACCCTAAACCCTAAACCCTAAGCCCTAAGCCCTAAGCCCTAAACCCTAAACCGGATAAACCGTTATTAATGAACCCCCGAACCCAACAGGAGGACTACGGCTCTGCCAGCAGCCCACGACTCTACGGCGCCTTGCTCTTCGCCTCCGTCGGTGGCGACGGCAGCCTGGGTGCGCCAGGGCAGTGGGCCGCCGGGCTGCCGGGAGGTTTAGGGGTCACGGAGTTTTAGGGTTTTCTAGGGTTGTTTTGGGGGTGTTTAGATGGTTTAGGGGGGTGTTGCGGGTGTAGGGAGTTTAGGGTGTTTAGGGTGAAGAAGTTCATTTTTTTTTGTGGTTGTTGCCTCCGAGGCTTACAGCATCCGGCTGAACGTGTCGGCAGGCGAGCTTTCCTGCTTAAGTGTCGGCGAGAATTTGAAGCACGAACTCGAAACCCGAGCCCTGAACTGGAGGCACCCAACACCCCAAAACCGCACACCTTAAAACCCCCAAGCTTCCTTCCCTAAAACCCCCTAAACTTCCCGAAACACCCCAAACCCCCTAAACTTCCCTGAGCCTGGAGGCACGCAGATCTACACCCGGGTTCCCACGACCCGGCCTCTGGACTTGGGGCTGAGGACCAATGAGGCCCAGCAGGGGTTTCCGGTTTCCGGTGTCGGAGCTCAGGGGAGGTTAAGGGTTTAGGGAATCGAACCCTAAACCCCAAACCCCAAACCCCAAACCCCAAACCCTAAACCCTGAAGCCCTAAAGCCTAAACCCTAAACCCTAATCCCTCGACCCCAAACCTCAACTCGAACTGACTGACTTGACGGGGGTAGGGGTTAGGGTTTGCTTGACGTCCCTGGAAGAGACAGGCTTTGGTCTACCTCCGAAGGGGCCACCGTGGCCGCAGTCAGCAGAGAGCCGCTCAAACCCGAAGCACTCTACACCCCGTAACCCTTAAACCCTCTTTCAATTGCAGGCCCTCTTACGATACAGCTGGTGAGCGTGTTCATGGTGGTGATTTGCTCTCTTGGCCTCTAAGGGAAAGATCGGGTTGGGGGTTTTGACTTGGAGGTTTCGGGTTTAAGGCTTAAGGGCCTCGGGTGAATTAGCGTCAGACATGCGCGAGACAAGGCTTTATGTCCCTGCAGCTCCTGGTCGACCGCTATGCCATCGGCTGGCCAAGTGTTGAGGTGACCGAGGACGCATGAGTTGTCTTTGCGGCCTCATAGAGGCCCGAGCATCATCTGCAAGCCCCCAAGGCACAATCCGCAAAACCCGACCCCCATTCCTCTGCCTGCAGTGGACCCCTTGTAATCCCCTGTAAACTGAGAGCCAACGCCGCGCGCCTTGAGATCCCTAAGCCCTAAACCTTAAACTAGACCCTAAAGCCAAATCCTAAACCCTAAGCTCTGAACCCTAAACCCTAAACCCTAAACCCTAAACACCAAACCCGAGCTTGAGGAGACTGCTCCAGTCCTGTTACACGCCAGCGGCATGGACCATGTGACCGGGAATGAGGCGTGCGCGTTGCGAGATCCAAAAGGGTGCTGGCAGAAAGGAAAGCCTGGAGGGCTTCCTTACACAACAATGTATGTATGTATGTATGTATGTATGTATGTATGTATGTATGTATCTATGTATGTATGTATGTATGTATGTATGTATGTATGTATGTATGTATGTATGTATACTTCTATATGTACAGTTTTGTTTATAGGAAAATTCCATACACATACATTTTCATATATATGTTTTTGTATATGTTTCTGTAGATGTAGATGTAGATGCATATGCATATGTATATATATATATATGTATATATACTTGTATATAATTGTACATGTACAGATAGACACATATATGTATGTATGTCCGTCGGTCTGTCTGTCTGTGTCTGTCTGTCTGTGTGTGTGTGTGTGCAAAAATGCATATCTGTATATCTGCATATATGTGTGCATGTATATGCAATATATTTGCCCCTAAAGGCCCTGAACACTAAGACCCTAAACCGAATCGAGGGACGGCGTAGGGCGTGATGTTCAGAAGTGCTTTTTTCGGAGTCTCCGCGCGCTCAATGACACGAGGAGTATGGCCCTTGACGACACGCACATTCTCATCTGAGTGGAATTTCCTGAAATAAAGCCACGAAGTTTTTTCGGAGATTTCCTCCGGATGCCTCCACTAACCGTCCCCCCAAAGCCCGAGTCCTGCGACCTGGTCTCAACCCGAAGTCCTGAACGCCCCCCTCAATCCCCTCATCCTGCACAACAGACCGTCAGCACCCAAATGAAGCTGGCGGAATATCTCCGCGCCTCGGCATGTTGAGAGGTTTTGGATTGACCCTCAGACTCCTCAGAGCCCCCCAGCCCACGAAAGCCTTATAGGCTCTACTTGAGCTGTGCGTCGTGAGCCTGAGACCTGAGTGGATCATGGAAGCAACCATTGTATGGAAGGGGGGAGAAGGGTTCCCAGGTTATGCGCCACAGTCGCTGGGCACTGTGCCGATGCCGGTGGGCGGCGTCGTGGTGGACCGCCGGTCCCACGCTTCCCCCCCCTCCCCCAAACAGTCGAAGATGATAAACGGGCCACCGGATGCTTTATGTGATTTCAATGTTGTGAGTGAACTTTCTTGCGACGCCCCGAAGATTTCGTCTTCATGACCCCCGGAAGTCCAAGGGCAAACTTGTCTCAACAGAGCCGCAGACCAAACAGCGGTGCAACATGAGGCTTTGGGGCTTTGGGGCTTTGGGGCTTTGGGGCTTTGGGCTTTGGGTCACCCTAAAACGAGCGCACAGAGCTTGATGTGATGTGCAGATGGTCTCCCCACAGACCGTTGAACTACACGACTTCCGAACCTCCAAGCCCAGCGGATGCGTCATTCCACCAGGACGGCTTCTACGCACCTTGGCTATAAGACTGGTCGGCCGGGGGGTTTCGGACTTTACATCCCATCTCACCATCTGGACCTGACGTCCTGCACAGCCTTCGGCGGGAGCCTACGTCTATCCTGTAACTAAGCCCGCAACCCGAAAGACTCAATTCGGGATTCAGGATTCAGGATTTGGAAAGCTCTAAGTGAGAGTTCCCTGCTTTCCCTGGAACCCCACAGCCATACTTCAGAGAGATTTACATGGTGGTTTCCGAAATTCGGGTACCCTACAAAGGTCCTTATTAACAAGGGAATCCTAATGTTAGGGGGTCTAAATTAGGGGGGGTCCCTTATTGCCGAACACCCCCCAAAGAGGTTGAGGGTTGTCAAAAGGGTCGAGGGTCATGGCAGTTTGAGCTCCAATCGAGCCTCAAGGAACTGATCGCTCTCGCCTTTCCTCTGGTCTTCATCGTCGCCTTCCTCTACACTCAGAAGAAGGCCCGGAAAGCTCCAAGCCCCAAACCTTCGAAAGCCCTAAGCCTTAGAAGCCTATTTAGTTGAGGGTGCAGGGGTAGAGGCAGTTTGTGGCGCAGGACCCGGACCTCGAACTCCAAACCCCAAAAGGCCCACCGCTGCGGGGGCGCTTGAGCTGAAAAGGCGATCGGGGGGCTGTGAAACTAAGGGTTCCTTGGGCGGTTGACCCCAAACCTTATCAACCCTAAACCCTAAAATCCAAACTCTAAAGCCTAAACCCCAAGCCCTAAACCCTAAACCCTAAGCCCTAAACCCTAAACCCAGCCAAAGGTCTTGAACGAGCTGATCTCCGAGAAGGAGTCGAAGGTCCGGGAGAGCCTGCGCATGCTTGGGGTGGGGAGCCCGGCCATCATCAGAGCCTCGGCGCCAGGGCGTTGGGTTTAGGGTTTAGGGTTGAGGGTTTGGGGTTTAGGGTTCAGGGTTCTGGGTTCTGGGTTTAGGGTTTAGGGCTTAGGGTGCCAGGGTTTATGGTTTTGAGGTTGAGGGGTTCGCCTTTCGGAAGGAAACCTTCTCAGCCCTGGTGACTTGAGGGCTCACGACCTCGGAGCCTTCTGACACCAGGGTTAGGGCCAAGGGCTTAGAGGAGTGAATCGAATCGACTAGACTGAAAGGTCTCCAAAACCTTCCCCCACCCCCGTGCATCTGCGCCCAAGGTTCTTGGTATTTGACCTACGGGATTATTTTTGGCATCCTCTGCGCGATCTTCGCCCTCACGGCCTCCTTCTATGTGGCCTGGTGGGTTCTTGGGGTGCCAGGTTCAGGGCGGACAGGTTGCCAGGCTGTTCGCTCAATTGTGGTCCCTTCTTGGGTAGCTTGTATACCGACACACTATATATGTGTAAATTCAGGTATACATGTAACGCATGTAGACATGTAGACATGTAGACATGTAGACATGTAGACATGTAGACATGTAGACATGTAGACATGTATACTTGTATACTTGTATACTTGTATACGTGTTTCTGCGTGTATCTGTATGCATACATGTACATAAAAAGGGACCAACACAGGGACCCTAGTTGTGTGAACTCCGATACTTGGGCGCTTTGCTGGTTAGGGCATCACGGGGCTTGGGGCAGTGAGCTTCTGTGTTGTGGGGTGTAGGGTTTCGGGTCTGAGCTTCTGGACAGAAACCGTACATTCTCAGGGTTTAGGGTTCAGGGTTGTCCGCTCAGGTCTTCCCTGGTTCCAGCGCAACGCTGATTTTCGCCTTCTTCTGGCTCTGGTGCATGTCGTTTCTGGCCTTTGCACCTGAGCTGGAGCCCGGGTTCGGTGTTGAGACTTGGGGTTTCGAGTTACGGTTGAGGCATTATGGCTTCGGGTTTAGAGGATTCGGGGGCCTGTTTGGGGGGGGGGGGGGGAACTCCATCGGTCAAGGGGTATCATCTGTTTATAAATGAGTAAATGTACATATTTAAATATATACATATACAGATATGCGGACGTATATACATACACATGCCAGAAAAGTACATATATGAATTTACATATACGGCTTAGAGCGCTCTTGCAGACGATGTGGGGGTGCATAGAGGTATGCTCCTCCTGAGATGTATACAGCAACCTCACATGCAACCCTTCAAACCAACCACGCAACTTACAAACTTTCCAACACCACCAGACTCATGAAAAACCCCAAACCCAAAAGCTTAAACCCTGAACCCTAAACCCTAAACTCTTAACGCTAAACCCTGTTTCGTATTTAGGTCGTGTAGGGTAGGTATCGAAAACAAGCGTTGTGGCAGGGCAGAACCCCAAAGTGCTCCCAAGGCCCTAAAGAGGCCCTTCAAGGCCTTAAGAGGGTTTAGGGTTTAGGGATTTAGGGTTTACGCAGGCGGTTCCGAGGACAATCCAGAAGCGAAATCACTTGTGGATTCACTACAAAGGAGGAATCGACCTCACAAGTTTAACCTCCATAGATGACCGAAAGACGTTAACGGAACAGGCCTGCGACGACAGCAGCCGGTAGAAATCCAGTAAACCGACCGCAGACTCCGGTTCTGAGACTCGTGAGGCTCTCCCGCCCTGAAAGACTCTTGAAGCTTCAAGGGGTATTGGGTCTTAGGGGGGCTGGAAGGAGGCCTTAAAGGCCTTAAACATTGGAATGCCCAAGACCTCAAACCTCAGTGCTGCCTTGCGAGTCCATGCCCCTGAAACCCCCGCAGCTCTAAGCCAAAACCGCACCGAGGCCTGGTTCATCCACTGCTTCTTTAACCAGTCGCGCACAGGAGGGAAGGGTTGAGGGTTTCGGGAGGTGGGGGTGAGAGGGTGAGGAGTTTGGCACGGTCGAAGAGGGGCAGGAGGGAGGGTCGAGGAATGGGTGTTGGGCCTATGTTGTTCCGGCTCTGGGTCTTCTTTGCTTCGAAAGCCCTAACAGTCCCTTTCAACCCTAAACCCTCAAACGTAAACCCTAAACCGACAAACCCTTAACCGGCAGCCCCTAGAGAGCCCGAGGGCTCAATGCCAAAGCTAAGGCCGGAGTTCTGGGTCTGGTTAAGGATTCAGGGTTTAGGGTTGAGGGCTTCGTGATGTATACGATCGTGTGTGAGCTACCCAAAGTACCCATTCCGTTCAACTGGGCCCCTATAGCATCCTAAGCCCTATCCTCAAATCCTTCTACCCCTAACCCTAAACCGTAAACCCTAAACCCTTAACCCTGAACCCTGAACCCTTAACCCTAACCTTCAACCCTCAACCCTAAACCCTAAACGCTTACGCCCCAGCAGGTGGCATCGTCGGCATGATAATCATGTTCGCGCAGTGGATCGTGCCACCCGGCATAGAAGGGAAAGCTGAGATCCTGTGATTGCTTGTTTAGGGTTTAGGGTTTTAGGGTTTAGAATTTTGGGTTTAGGGTTTAGGGTTTAGGGTTTAGGGTTTTAGGGTTTTAGGGATTAGGGTTTAGGGATGAGGGTTCAGGGTTTAGGGTTTCGGGCTTTGGTATAGTGCGGCCCTGACAGTGACATTTTCTTGGCCGAGACGCATCAGCGGCACTCTCTGCCCCATAGGTTGGGAAACAGGGAGGCACCGCTATTTGCTGCAGGTATTCCTCGCAGAATCGTGATGGCCCGCCATCTGAAACTGTCACTGTGCTGCCTCCTGGCAGGGAACACTGTGGCAGGTGCTGTTCGGAATCAGGATGAACCCTAAACCCCTGCAAACACCCCTAAAGCCTTTTGTGAACCCTGTGTGCCGAAGCTCAAGCCTGACGTCGCAACAGTCCAAATCCAACTTTAGAGGTCGGGGGCGACAGCTTAGCTCAAGATTGCCAGGGGGGAAGGGGTTCAGGTTCGGGTTAAGTTTTCGAGTTGAGCCTCTAGATTTGGTAGCTCCTTGTTCCCTGCAAAACCTGCTGGCAATGACCCTCCCAACCATCCTAGACAGGCCTTTCCTCTTGCGAAGCACGGCCAGAGCTATGGAAATGCCCGCGTAGCCAAGAACTGCAACCAAAAAATAGTCCTCAGGTTCTCAACCTCAAGCCTGACAGTAAACCCTAAACCCTAAACCCTAAACCCTAAACCCTAAACCCTAAACCCTAAACCCTAAACCCTAAACCCTAAACCCTCAGCATCCCAAGGCTCATGCTCATGCCCAACGCCGCCTTTTGCACGGGCCTTGCGGCGCCTGGGCCAACCTGTCATTGTCGGCGCTCTGAGCCCTCTGAGCCCTAAGCCCTTGACCCTAAACCCGAAACCCGAAACCCTAAACCCTACACCCTAAACCCTAAACCCTAAACCTGCATAGGCCCTTGTTGTTCTCCCGTATTGGGTTGGTACAAGAGGAGCATATTGAGGAATGTTTTTCAGAGGGTTTGAGGGACCAACCTAGAAACCAGTGTACCCGGGCTCGGGTTCAGGCTTTCAGGGTTCAGTGGGGTTCAAGGGCTTAGGGGTTTAAGGGGTTTAAGGGGTTTGAGGGGTTTAAGGGGTTTGAGGGGTTTCAGGGGTTTAAGGGGTTTCAGGGGTTTCAGGGGCTTGAGGGGTTTAGGGGCCTTCGTTGTGAACGACGCTTAGGAGTGGCTTCAGGGGCAGAAGGGCCGTGATTTTTTCTCCGCAAGTCAGGTCCTGGCTAAGTTTGAAGCCGCCCGCGTGGGGGCCCAGTGGGGCAACGCCTTCATGGAGGCGGGGGTTTAAGGTTAGGGTTTAGAGCTTTGGGGCTGCAGCCTTGGTCACAATAACGGATCATGCGGTAATAATGACGAATTTGTTGGTGCTTTTTTGTTGGCTGCTATTACCGAATCAATCGGTGAATCGGTCGGTGGCTGCTTCTGATGCAACCAGGGGGTCTTGTGTAGTATTTATTCGTTTCTTTCGGGTTTGGGGGTCCCTTGTCAGAGGCTTATAAGGCATCATACGGGCTTGGGGCTTGGGGGGGGGGGGCGCGCGGGAATCCTTTCAGGCCTTATAAGGCCCAAAATGCGGCTTCACGCACTTTTTTTCGGGTTTGGGGATCCCCTGTCAGTGTCAGAGGCTTCTAAGGCATTATACGGGCTTGGGAGGGCGGGGGGGAGGGGCACGCGGGAATCCGCATTTTGGGCATTCTAGGCCTTAAAGGTCCAAAATGCAGATTCCCACACTTTGGCTCAAGCTTTCTTTCATTCCCTTCAGGTCGGGGCCTTTCTTTCAGGTTCCCGACCTCTTTGAAAGCACGTGCAGGGATACGTTGCTAATACCGCAAAGCCTTACGTGATTAGTGCCCCGAAGTCTTTCGTTATTACTACCCCCTTTCCTTTTCGGTGTGAGTGCACGGTCTCTTTGGGGCTGGGGTTTAGGGTTTCAGGCCGAGGGTTTAGGGGTCAGGGTTTCACCCTTATACCAACAGTCCTTAATGGGGATGGGTACTCTAATCCCTAGCACGGACTGTCAGTGTCAGGGGGAAGATCCCAACCTGAAACCCGAAATCCAGCATACCTTTGGGGAGAACCCCGGAGGTAGCAAACTCGTCCTTTGCGTCTGTCCTGGGCATGATGTGCCTGGACATCGTCTTGTCACCCGGCAGCAACCACGGCAACCCACAGAACCCCGGAGAACTTCACGGAGAACTTCACAAAAACTCTCAACGCCCCAAAGCCAACTGGAGCCTCCTTCCCTCGAAAGACTTGACTGGAGACGTCTGTGTTAGGGTTTCGGCCAGTTTAGGCTTTCGAGGGCTTCCTTTCTCCTGTGATGGGCCGTCGTGTAGCCCAAAAAAAGGGAGGATAATTTGGAACATCCCCCGCAACCTGTTTCTTGTGAGTCGACCTGAGGTATACCCTCCTTGGCTGGTACCTTGACCGTGTGGTTCCCAAGGACGGGCTGCGTCCTTGTGCGAAGCCAGTTTGGACAAGGGTTACGGGTCGTCCCCTAAAGTCAAAGGTGAGCAAAGGGAGCGAAGGTGTGGGCTTACACAGTCCTTGGCCTTTCTTATAGGAGTCGTGACTTCGTTGCTCTTCTGTCGAAACAGGAAACCTTGAACCCCCGAAGAAGAACGCGCACGCCATCATGTGATGGAGGAGTTTGGTGTGCGCCTGCCTTTCTACTTCCCCTTTCAGCGGTCATTCTGGCAGTCGCTGTGGAGGTCTGGACATGGATCATGGGCTGTGGGAGGGCGGGTTGCGTGCCTGAACCCGATTCTCCAGTGCCTCAGGCAAAGCGTGCAACCAAAGCCACAAACCCCAGACCCGAAACCCCCAAGCCCAAACCCCAAAACCCCAAGCCCAAACCCCAAAACCCCAAGCCCAAACCCCAAGCCCAAACCCCAAAACCCCAAGCCCAAACCCCTGAACCCTAAACCCCTGAACCCTAACACGCTAAGCTCCTCAGTCCGGCGGCTCTGGCCGATGCAGCCGCCACTGCAGAAGAGGTGGCGGCCCCAGGGACCGAGGGTCAATCCCCTCCTCCATGGGGGGGGTTTCCGGAGGGGTACCCTACTTGGGGGTCCCTGTAAGGGGAGTCCATCCTGTTTGGGGTATAAAAGGGATACCCCCCCCGATTCTGGGAAACAGCCAAATGTCCAGTGATTTGTTGTGTGTGTGTGTGTGTGTGTGTGTGTGTGTGTGTGTGTGTGTGTGTGTGTGTGTGTGTGTGTGTTCGGGGTCTTTCTGGGTTGAGGACTCATAGCAGTTGGGTTTTTGGGGATTGTATCACCCACCCCCCAACCCAATTCTCAACGAGTCCATGCCCAAAAAAAGGGTCAGTGGTGAGGCCCTTAAGCCCTAAACCCTAAACCCTAAACCCTAAACGCTAAACCCTAAACCCTAAGCCCTAAACCCTAATCGCCCTCAACGGGCCACATCGGGATCTGAGCTTCACGGTAGCTGCTTGCCGTTTCCCCTCAACTCCTTTCTGTACACCCACATATTATATGCAAAAAAGAATAAATAGAAACATAAAAAATAGATAAGTAAGTAAAAATGTACATAAACATGTGTGTATATATATATATATATGTACGTAAACATATCGACTTTTAGAATCATTTATAGCACTCATTAAAACGGCACGGCCCTGAAGTAAGAAGGCTCAAAGAGAGCCAGGCTATCAGACCTAAACCCTAAACCCCAAACCCTAAACTTTAAGCCCTAGACCCTAAAACCTCGAGCCTCAACAACTTGTAATTTTCAAAAGTCCAAAACCGCAACATTCCTCAACTTTCCTCGAAACTTTCCTCGACAGTTTCTCGAAACTTTCCTCGAAACTTTCCTCGAAACTTTCCTCGAAACTTTCCTCGAAACTCTCCTCGAAACTCTCCCCGAAGCTCCTCGAAACTGTCCCCGTACCTGAGCCCTGAATAATTTCAACAAAACCTAAACCCTAAAAAGCCAAAAACGCCTAAAAACGCTAAAAACCCGAAAAACCCTAAAAACCTTAAAAACCCTAAAAACCCTAAAAACTCTAAAAAACCCTAAGCCCTAGGCCGCTCTCAACGGCCCGGCGGCTCTCTGCGTCGGCTCGGGCGCGGCCGAGCCGGTCCCTGAGGCGTGCGGGGCTTCAGCTTCTTTAGGGTTTAGGGTTTAGGGTTTAGGGTTGAGGGTTTAGGGTGTTTAGGGGGGTTAGGGTTTAGGGGGTTGAGAGGATATTCTGTTGCGAACGTGCCAGGGGTTGGGATGATCACCTTCAAGCATTTCAAACTCAGGATGGTTTGCCGCGCAGCTGCTAATCTGAGGTATTCCGGTGGCACATGTCTGTGCTCAAGCACCCAGTTGTTGATGATTGAAGGCCGTGCTGCGAACAGGCGCTCAATGGGTGCTCCAAGGGTCTTCTGAGGAGTCAGTGGTTTCCGCCTCTGAAGCTGCCCGCCGCATCTCATCCAGACTGTTTCATGCGGACTGTGCGAGCTCCGCCTGGCTTAGAACATGTTTGGCCATGCCTGCCCACACCCAAGCGAGCTTCCCCGTCCAAGCAGCGGCGCGATGTTGCCCGTGCACTGGCACGTGCACGATATAGTCGCAATGCAAAGCCTCTGCCAAGCAGTCGTGAGGAATCACTCAAGGACAATCTTGTTGCAATTCTCTGCGATGGCGACACTGGCTTCAGCGACTATTTTCGCAGCTGGTCCACACCTGTCGCCCCCAGACAGACGCGTGGGAGACACAGGGATGTTTTTCCGCTTGCTGCTGCGGCAGTATGGGATTTTACTCCCGAGGCTGTTGCTTTTGGGGCTGAAACTGCACTTCTGTTGCTCAATGGGTGCATTGCTGCTCTCAACTTCTTGGTGGCAGACTTTAAACCTTGCAGGTTTGCTGAAGTTGCAAAGCATACAAAGGCGCAAAGGGCGGCAGTGGAGCATTTGGCCGCTCGGGTAGCCCGTTTTCTTGATGAGATCCAGAAGTGTTGCCCGCAGGGTCCGCAATGCCATGGAGCTTTCAACCGCTATGAGGAGCTAGAGGCCGACAGGTATCCGTCGTTAAACGCTGATGTCGTGGACCTGCCGGTGGAAGCAGGTACTTGCGAGACGCAGAGCCACATCCCTGAGGACCTCAAGAATGTTGTGACTTCACCAGCCAAGCTTTTTGGGGGCAACGCAACATCGCCAGTGCAGAATTTTCCCTGTCGCAGTCCGTCTGGCAAGCAAAGGAAGGAGTACCTCAAGCTAGTTTGGCGTCAGCTGCAGTGTGGAAAGACGCGGCTGCGCCGAAATGTCAATGCCGTGGGAGATGTTTTCTCTGTCCGCAAGAGCCATGGTCGGCAACGTGAAGTTTGGAACGGTTCCATCATTTCCGCCTTAGCGGAAAAGCCGCCTGCGCCGCAGTACCTGGCAAATCCGAGCTGCTTCGTGGACCTTGCTTTCTTGCCTGGCCAGCAAGTGTTTATGTCGAAGAGGGACGTTCACACTTGCTTCGATGTGCTCCAGGCCCCCCCAGCCATACAACCTTGGTTTGGACGGCCTCCCGTCACCCTGGGCGAGCTGGCACAGGCAGCTGACGTGACCGTGGAACAGCTGCAAGGCTTCGTAGTGGACCGGGTTGACAGCATCGTCAGTGCCGAGGACTATGTTTACCCGGTCAGCACCGTGTGGCCTATGGGCTTCAGCTGGTCGTCTTGCGTTGCTCAAGCTGCCACTGTTTCCTGCTGCATGGAGGCTGGAGTGACCGAGGATTGTTTTCTGACAATGGAGCATCCCCCTCCCCGTGGCCTCGAAGCTTGCGGAGTTGCTACGGACGACACTTTCTTCTTCCACATGGACCGTCAGCTTGGGTTGGAAAGGCTGAACAAGCTAGATTCCATCATGGATGCAAAGGGAATGCCGAAGAACAAGGCAAAGGATGTCACTTTACAGCCCTGTATGACAGCGCTGGGGTGTCATCTGTCGGCTGCTACTGCCACGGCTGAACCTGCAACTGAGAAGCTGGTGCCGCTCTTCCTTGCTTGGCTTGATGTATTGCAGAAGGGGTCAGCTAGCCCCTGCGGCCTCAACCGTGCGCTTGGTGTGCACCAGTGGTTTTGCCTGCTGCAGCGCCCGCTCTTCAGCGTATTCAACACCGTGTACGAGTTTGTGCTTCAAGAGCCTGCGACTACTTGCGTGAAGCTTCCAGAGTGTGTGTGTTCTGAGATCGCCGTGGCTACGTTCCTCATGCCACTCCTCGGGGCTGACCTGTCCCGTCCTTTCCTGCCTCGCCTCACGGCAAGCGATGCGGCGCCGGAGTATGGTTTTGGGCTAGCTTACCTTGACTGCGACGCTGCCTGCGCTGCACATGTGGGCTCACTCGCTGAACGACGAGGTGATTTTGTGAAGTTCTACCTTGAACCTGGTGAGGAGGCTGGCAAGGACCGCTTGGGCACTCCTCACAGGCTGCCTTTTCGGAAGCGGTCTTTCAAAGTGGCTGTTAGTGCAAGGGCCAAGTGGCAAGCCCATTCAGGTGCTCTGGAGGCTCACGGTCTCCAGCTGGCTTTGAAGTGGCTGCTGAGGACGCCCAAGCGTTTCCACCATCGCTTGGTCGTTCTGGTTGACGCTAAGGCCATCCTCGGAGCGGCAAGCAAAGGCAGAACGTCGGCTCCTGGCATTCGTGGAGTCATTCGGCACATCGGCGGGCTTCTTCTTGCCACAAACTGTTTGCTGCGGTTGGTTTATGTGCCATCAGAATACAACCCGGCTGATGCGCCTTCGCGTGGCAGGCAGCTTTCCGCCAAGCGCAGGGTCAGAAAGGCCTGGCGCAAGAGAACATGAGGATGGATGCGATGTATTCGTGGTTTCACTCTTTGTTTTTTTTCTCGCCTACTCCTTTCTTTGGGCGTCCGGGAACTTCGTGACTGATCACTTCAATCTAGCGAGGTGATTTGCTTCAACCAGCTGCAGGTGAGGCTGGGTTCTGACGTTTGAAGAGTGGGTTGCCGCAGTCTGCACCAACTGCGTTGCGCACAGCCAGGGCTGTCGCCTGGCTTGCTGGTTTCTCTGCTCACTGTTGTTCTCAGCACGGCAGTGTTCAAAGAGGTTGGCTCTTTGATGCAATCGGCGCGCAAGGCCGCGCCAGTCGCCTGGATAGTGGGACTTTTGCAGTACAGCTCTACGTTGTCACTGGTCCGCTGTGGTCGTTGATACAGACGTTGGTCCAGCTTGTGCAGATGACCAGTGCTACCAATATTTGCAAGACTTCTCTAACACCAGGCGAGAAAATGCGCACATTATCCCTTTCGCTTGTGGTGCGTCCCTTCCGTCAGCAAGGCATTCCAAGTGGAGGCGTCAGAATGAGAGGATATTCTGTTGCGAACGTGCCAGGGGTTGGGATGATCACCTTCAAGCATTTCAAACTCAGGATGGTTTGCCGCGCAGCTGCTAATCTGAGGTATTCCGGTGGCACATGTCTGTGCTCAAGCACCCAGTTGTTGATGATTGAAGGCCGTGCTGCGAACAGGCCCTGCCCACCCACCCGGGACTTTTGCAGTACAGCTCTACGTTGTCACTGGTCCGCTGTGGTCGTTGATACAGACGTTGGTCCAGCTTGTGCAGATGACCAGTGCTACCAATATTTGCAAGACTTCTCTAACACCAGGCGAGAGAAATGCGCACATTATCCCTTTCGCTTGTGGTGCGTCCCTTCCGTCAGCAAGGCATTCCAAGTGGAGGCGTCAGAATTAGGGTTCAGGGTTTCGGGTGATGGGAGGGCTTTCGGGTCAGGGTTTTCGAAGCGTAGGGTGTAGGGTGGGAGGCGGTAGAATCCTGCATGCATCTTCGAGGTGGTTGGGGTGCGAAGTTTTCTAAACCCGAAACCTGAAACCCTAAAACCCTAAACCCTGAACCCTAAACCCCAAACCCTAAACCCTAAACCCTAAACCCGAGTGCTCTCAGCTCAAAAATCAGGCGCTGCGACGGAAGTCGGCATCCTCAGGCTGCATCTTGGCCCACGCTGCCCTAGGGGTCTAGGGCCCGAAGTGTCAAAGCCTCGAGCCCTAAACCCAAAGCCTTAACCCTAAGCCCTAAACCCTAAAGCCTAAACGCCTGGTCTCCTGGCGCTTACGATGTTTGATTTTACGAGTTTCGGGGTTTGGGGTTTAGGGTTTGGGGTTTGGGGTTTAGGGTTCAGGGTGCAGGGTTCGCGGTTCGCGGTTCAGGGCTGCAGCATTGCAATCTTCGGTTCTACTCTGCAGTTGAAGCAGAGTTTGACGTATGAACGTGAGCCAGGTATAGCTTCTACATCGGGAGACCCGAACCCAAAGCCTGAAACACCAAACCCTCAAACTCCAGACCTCAAACTCCAAACCCCGAACCCTAAACCCTGAACCAACTAGCATCGGATCGCAGAGTCCTCAACACGGCATGCGCGCAAGCTCATCGCAAGACCGCTGCATGTGAGCCATGCCCCTAAAAGCCAAGCCTTGGGGTTTAAACGGGTTCAGGGTTTACGGCTCAGGGGTTCCAGGTTTTATTGTTTTGGGTTTAGGCTAACCCACCAGTTTCTTGCAAAGACCCCCCCTTTCATGGCCGAGGCGTGGTGCGGACGTCGCCCTTCGCCGGAGTTCGCCACACCAGGGGGAAGAGGCGGGTTTCTAGGGTTTGGAGTTGAGGAGCTCAGGAGCTTGAGCCCAAATTTTGGGAGGAAGTCTCAAACCGCTGCCTGCAAATTCTGCACCTCTGCCAACATTTGAGCCAAACCCTACATCCCTACCCCCCCAAAAAGGTGCACAGGGTTGTGAGAAAAAAAAGAACCGTGAGCCCCCCTCTAAACCCCCCCCCCCCCCCAACCGCCCTGAATGTAGCCGCCAGGTGGCCGTTGAAGGCTTAGATTTGGCCATGTGCCTGGACTGACAGTCGGAGGGCTTTAGGGGCTTTTTTTTTTTTTTTTTTTTTTTCGGGCTTTGGAATTGTACGATTTTTAGGTTAGGGGGTGGGGGTTTGGGGCCTAAGGGTTTGGGCTTTGGAATTTTAGGGTTTTTAGGGTTTATAGGGTTTAGGCTTTCAGGGTTCAGGGTTTTAGGGTTTTATGTTTTTTTTTTTTTTTTTTCAGGGTTTAGGGTTTTAGGTTTTTCGGTCTAGGGTTTTGGGGTCGTCTGCCAAAGATGCGATCATGTGATGCGCCTTTGGCTCCTCCCGCAGGGTCTCGAAGGTATTTGCAGTCTAGGGTGACCATACGGTCCTTATCTCGCTTGTGCCCTAACGCTCAAACCCTGAACCGCAAAGCCCCCTGAACCCCCCTAAACCTTGAGCCCCTGCATGGCTCTAAGCCCTAAGCCCTAAGCCCTAAACCTTAAACCCCTGAACCCCAAAACCCCGTCAACCCCGAACGTTCGCAAGCACACGTTCTTGCCAATAGCCTACCAGTTGCACCCTCGGTGTGGGGTTGTTAGATTTTAAACTCAACTCTTCTCCTCGCCCGGAACACTTCTCCTCACCCGGAACTCTTCTCCTCGCCCAGTCTACTCCTCGCTCATCCCTGGAGTGCCCAACCCCAAAGTGTCCCTGGAGTGCGCAACTCTAGAATGTTCTTGGAGGGCCCAACCCCAGAGTCTCCCTAGAGTGCCCAACCCCAGAGTCTCCCTGGAGTGCCCAACCCCAGAGTCTCCCTGGAGTGCCCAACCCCAGAGTCTCCCAGCCCCAGAGTCTCCCTGGAGTGCCCAACCCCAGATTATAGGGTGGGGATGTCATTAATTGTATCAGAGGGATGTATGGATCCTCTCCGCATCCTTGTGTCGAGCAAATAGTAGTAGCCCGCAGACTGGAAGGTACGACGGGCAGATCTTGGCCCTGCTGGGTCACAACGGTGCCGGCAAGTCAACAACCATCAACATGCAATGTGGCGGCACCTAAGCCCTCAACCCTAAACCCTCAACCCTAAACCCTAAAAACCCTAAACCCTAGACCCCTAAACCCTAAACCCTAAAAACCCTAAACCCCAAACCCTAAATAAACTCTAAGACTTTTCGGGCAAATGTTCAGGAGCGCAGCAAGAGGTGGCCGGAGGGGCACTGAAACTCTGAATTCAAAACCCTGAAGCCCTAAACGCCAAATAGCGCGCCCCCTCAAGCCCAATCCCGAAACCCGAAACCCTAAATCCTAAACTCTAAACCTTCTAAACCCTCTAAACCCTCTAAGCCCTCTAAACCCTCTAGACCCTCTAAACGCTCTAAACCCTCTAAACCCTCTAAACCTTCTAAACGCTCTAAACCCTCTAAACCCTCTAAACCCTCTAAACCCTCTAAACCCTCAACCCTAAACCCTAAATCACAGCTGACGTGCCTCAGTTGCTTCCCAGGCTGACTGGAATGGTGGAGCCCAGCTCTGGTGATGCTGCCACTTGGGCCGCAAGACACCTGGGCAGTTCTCTAAAATTAGGTTTTGTTCTTAGTCTTTTTGGGCCCTAAACCCACACCCCAAATCCCAAACCCCAACCCCCAAACCCCAAACCCTAAACCCTAAACTAACCCTTTCAACTCTAAACTTCGAGAACTGGCCGCATGTCCATCAGGTCATCGCAGGACACCGGCTGAGTGATGGAATCCGGGAGATCCGCCAGGCAAGGGGGTTTAGGGTTTTGGGTTTAGAGTTTAGGGTTTAGGGTTCAGGGTCGAAGGTTTCGGGTTCTCATAGCGTGCTTGGGCCTCCGCTTGGGTCAGCCACGCATTTCTTTGTAGCCGGAAGTGCCACTTCCTGTACCTGAACCTCCGCGTGGGCTAGCCGTGTTCCGCGGCCATGAGCGGTTGCTTTCGTTCTGGCTTTCTTCATACATACGCCCCACATCCCCCAATGTTGTACGTGTCTATGCGCAAGATTGGACACGTGCTAGTTACCCTAAACTAAACCCGAAAACCCTGAACCCACACTTTCTAAGTTTCGGTCCCTGTTTAGGATGCTCCCGATAAGGGTTTCTAGAACTAAGGTTCCTGTAACGGGATCCACATGTGTTTTCAATGCACAGAGCATTCATGCGGCTCATTGATCATGGGATTGGCCTCAGGAAAGTTGAGAGTAGGTCCGACATGCGTACCAGCGAAGAGAGTGTAAGCCCAAGACGTCGATTCCTGTGCAGGTCATCGGTGTTTGCCCGGGACTCAGACATCGTGGGGCAGCTAGCGAGCCGAGCATCAAGATATTCATCATCTGTCGCAGAAGTCGCCCCAAAAACACCACCGCCCCCGCCAGCACCACCACCGATTCAGTAGAAGATACACCTCCGGGGTTCGATGGTTTGTTGTGTTAAGGGCAGCGGGAGCTTATAAGGCTAGTATCGGTTGTTCTGGCAAAAGTGTTTGTGTCAGCTACCATATTCGTACGTATATATATATACATATACATATACATATACATATATATATATACATATAGATATATATATATATATATATATATGGCTGTGTTTTTGTAGGCTATATGTGTAGCATATCTACATTATATGTATATGTATATATATATATATACACATGCATGCATGCATGCATACATACGTACATACGTACATACATACATACATGTGGAGGCCGCTGTTTTGGAGGGCCGGGTGTGGCGTGATGCCGAGGGAGCTTGGGTGCTTGGCCTCCGCAGTCCAGGCCCGCAGCACGACGTGCTCTGGTTGGAGTTGACAGCCGCTTGGCCCTGCGGTTTAGGGGCTTAGGGGTTCAGGGGTTCAGGGGTTCAGGGGTTCAGGCAAAGTTTAGGGGTTGAGGGGTTTTGGGGTTCAGGGGTTTAAGGATTAAGGGTTTAGGGGGGTCCCCTCCCCCACTCCCGCCAAGAGGAAGAAAAAAAGCAGGACCCCCAGAATCTGGCTCGCTGCGCATTAGGATGCAAGGCCTCGCGAGGTCGCAACCCTGAACCCCAAGTCCGCCCAATAAGGGCTACTGCACAGCACGCCGGGGCTTCATTGGGCTTGCCTCTTTGGTGTCCACCCAAAACATGGACCCTAGGGTGCCCCCCCCCCCCCCCCCCCCCCAATGTTTCAATGTTTCGGAGGTTGGGGCAACCACGTAACCTCTTATTCTTGGCATCTATCCGAGTCCATTGCAGTCTTGAAGTCTCCTGATGAGCGGATGCCACGAGACCAAACGTAAATGACATACCCGGGACAACACTTCAGAGTCTGTTTATGGTGTTAAGGTAGAGTTTATGGCGTTCAGGGTTTCTTCTTGGGGTTTCAGGGTGTCATAAGCTCGAAGGGTTCAGGCCCCGGCCTCCACATCCGTGTGCGGAGGTCTGGGAGCATCTCACAATCTTCGCGCAGCTACGCGGCGTGCCGCCGGCGGAGGCCTGTGCAACCCCAAACCGCATAAAGCCTGCTTACAAACAGCAAGTCAGCCTCCAAAACCCGAAAGCACCCTGAAAAACCCAGGACCCGAAGAGCGGCACAGATTGCCACAGGCCATCCCCTAGACCCTAACCCCGAAAGCCGAAAGCCTGAACCCTAAACCCTGAACCCTAAACCCTAAACCCGAAACCCTAAAGCCTAAACCCTAAACCCTGAACCCTAAACCCTGAACCTGCTACCAAAGGCAGTGATCTGATGAGTTTTCGCATGGTGGTTAGCATCTGCCCTTCGGGTCTACATGGTTTAGGGCTTGGCTTTTGGGAAATTCAGTTGGAGCTGGGGCTGGGTGGGGTGTGATCGAGATTTTGCTCGTAAACCTTGTTCCCTGGACTCTAGACCCTCCACCTTCAACCCTAAACCCTGACCCCCCGAACCTGAGACCTGTCTCAGCCGTCCTGGGAGGTGCAGAGTCGCGCGGTCGAGATGATGCAGCAGGCGGGGTTCAGGGTTCAGGGAATAGGGAACCCACACGCCCTCCCACTTTAGGGTCCAGGGCTTGACATCCCAAGCGAGTACTTAGCCCCAAGTGAAGGCATGCATGGGGCCTCGTCATGGTTTAGGGTTGAACTGCTTGGTGAGCGTCTGAGCATTCCGTGCGCCCTGCACCCTGATCTTCTGCGGTCGTTCTCGAAATCATGATGATGGTGCCCTATAAACCCAAAATGAAAGGGGCTGGCCTTCATGATCATTACGTCGAAAGCAATCCCAAAAAAAGCAGTTGCAATCCACCCTGCATTTGTGTAGTTTGAATTCATTTGGGGCCGTTTTGGGGATCCTAAACTTCCTAAACCCTCAACCCGCAACCCTACTAAACCCTAGACCCAAACATATCCTTAGTTGAAGCCCTAGCAAACCGGCAAACCCTGAACCCGAAACCCTCACCCTTCTACAACCCCCTAACAACCCCTCAGCCCCCCTAAACCCGGAAGCACTCCTTAGGTCGGCCTGACAGAGAAGGCGCAAACCCGCGCAGGCGCCACACCTGCGAACCGGCTTAGCTCGAGTCAACTCGTCTCCTCGCCCGGGTCTCTTCTCCTCGCCCGGTCTACTCCTAGAGACTCCCTGGAGTGCCCAACCCCAGAGACTCCCTGGAGTGCCCAAAAAATCCAAATCCCCAAGGTGGGGATGTTCGAAGTGATTGTTTTTTTTTTGGCTTTCGGGGGCTCGGGGTGGCTTGAGGGTTCAGGGTTAGGGCGATTTAGGGAGTTGTCGGTTTGGGCGCCCCAAACCCTAGACCCTAAACCCCTGGATACTCCATCCCCTGACCCTACACCCTAAAGCCTAAACCCTACACCCTAAACCCTAAACCCTGAACCCTACACCCTAAACCCTAAAGCTCCAAAGCCCCTCAACTCCTTCAGGCGCCCTGTCGGGCGGCCAGAAGCGAAAGCTCTCCCTGCGCCTCGGCAGCGCGAAACGGTCGGGAGTTTTGTGGAGCCCTCAACCCCTAAAGCACCCCTAAACCGTAAACCCTCAACCGTAAACCCTAAACCCTAAACCCAAAACCCTAAACCCTGAACCCTAAAGCCTAACCCCAAAACCTAAACCCCAAGCCCTAAATCCCTAAATCCCTTCAATCCCTAGACCCCCAAACCTGAGGTGCTTGGCACTGATCGGCCGGCCCCCTGTCGTCTTCTTGGACGAGCCGACCTCCGGCAGCTTCTGCCGAGTTAGGGTTTAGGGTTTAGGGTTTAGGGTTTAGGGTTTAGGGCTTAGGGTTTAGGGTTTAGGGTTTAGGGTTTAGGGTTTAGGGTTTAGGGTTTAGGGTTTAGGGTTTAGGGTTTGGTGTTTACGTTTTAGGGGTTAGGGTTTAGGGTTTAGGGTTTCGGATGGCGGTTTCGAGTGGGCTTAGGTGGTGGGGTTTGGAGTTTCGGGCGTTTTGGTGGTTGTTCAACCCCAAACCCGAAACCCCAAACCCCAAACCCCACACCCCAAAGGCATGGATCCCTACAGCCGGCGCTCCACCTGGAATATCGTGCGCTCGGCACGCGAGGGCCGCGTGGTGGTGCTGACAACGCACTTCATGGACGAGGTGGGGAGTGGGGTTTAGGGTTTAGGGTTTAAGGGTTAGGGATGGCCCAAAAAGTAGGGTTCCAGGGGGTGGGGGCTCCCAACGTGCTATTCACCTCATGAGCCTGAACCTTTTGATCCTAAGCTCATAGACGCATAGTCCCATCAGAAGCCAGCCAAATCCCAGGGTGCCGCGGCTGAAGCGGGTACTGAAACGGCTACTCCCCTCAGCCCCTAAACCCTCAACCCTCAAAGTGCGGAGGCGGAGATCTTGGGTGATCGTGTGGCGATCATGGCCGAGGGACGCCGGGCTAGCAGCTTTAGTGCTTTGAGCTTCGCTGGATCTCAGAGTCGTCAGGGGGTTCGAAGATGCTTTGGGGGTCCCTTTACCGCAAACTCTAAGCCTTGAACCTCAAACCCTAAAACCCTAAACCCTAAACCCCAAACCCTAAAACCCGAAACCCGAAACCCTAAACCCTAAACCCTTAAGTCTAAGGCCAGCTGATGGTTTGCGGCTCCACCTTGTTTCTGAAGGCCTGAGGGCTGGGTCAATCGGCGAAGGCCGAGTCACAGGGCAGCCGACTTTAACAAAGATGCAAGGGTTTAGGGTTTGGGGTTTGGGGTTTAGGGTTTAGGGTTTAAGGTTTGGGGTGTAGGGTTGTGGGTTTTGGCTTTGGGGGTTTAGGGCTCGGAAGCTCCACAAGCTTCAGTCTTGTGCTCGCATCCTGAAGGCGAAACTCCTTGAACCCAAACTCGGAACCCTAAACCCAACACCTTGGGCCTATGGCTTAGCTGACGCCGAAACCCCAAAACCTGCCGCAGAGGCGCGCTTCGGGGCCGGCTATCGCCTGACCTGCGCAAGACAGGACCCGAAGCAATTCTCTACTGCTTTTGCCGGGGTTGAGGGTGAAGGGTGGGGTGTAGGGTCCCAAAGCCCGAATCTCCTCGCACCTTCAGGCCCTGGCTCTCATGTCGTGGTCCGGTTGCTCGTTCACTCGCATATCCTGGTTCTCAGGCGGCTGTCATCTATATCAATATCCGAGAAACAATCAGGACAGGCAAAAAGAGCTCGTGACCGCCACTGCCTTTAAAGTGACCATCTAGAAAGACCCAATTTACTGCGGGCTGGAACCTTTGATGCGGCAATTTTTCCCCCATTATCAGTAGGGTTTTAGGGTTTCGGGTTTAGGGTTTCGGGTTGGTGGTTTAGGGCTTAGGGTTCAGGGCTTAGGGTCGATTCCTAAGCCATAAGGTCAGGGGGGTTGTGGCGTCAGGAACCCCGGCCCGGGAGCCTAAACCACGTGGCGAGGACCCAACTCTGACACCCAAGCCCTAAACTCGCAACCCTAGGTCCACTCCCAGAAACTCCAACCGCCAAACCCTAAACCCCCCCCCCGAACCCGAAGCCCTAAACCCCAACCTTACACCCCCACACCCCCAACCCAGCCCCCAAAGCCCTCAACCCCATTAAGCGTGCGAGGATGTGGCATCACATCCGAGTGAGGGTGATCCGATCGAAGATGCATGGGCACCCAGGGGCTTTCAGGCTTTCGGGCCTTGGGGAGTTGAGGGTGTTAGGGTTTAGGGCTGGGCCTTTTTAGGGTTTTTTTGGGCGTATGTGGGTTCAATTCAATTGTGCACTTGATCCTGCTCTGGGTCTAGTTTTATTGGCTTCATTCTTCCGGAGATGATTGGGGCTTAGGGTTTGGGAGCCGAGCCTGCCCCTAAACCCTAACTAGGCCCTATAGGCCCTAAACCCCAAACCCCAAACCCCAAACCCAACACCTCATGGGACTCGAGCAGTTGAACGCCAGCGTCAGGTTTAGGGTTTAGGGTTTCGGGTTTAGGCTTGACTGCCCAGTCCGCCTAGAAGCTCTGTCTTCAACGGCCGGTGCACAAGGCCCCACATGCGCAACCAGATTTGCAGTACCTAACCCAAACCCGGAAAATAAACCCTAAGCCCGACAGCCCTAAATGCCTAGACCCCTCGACCCCTCGACCTCTAAACCCCAAGCCCCCCCAAACCGCGAACTCCCCAAACCCCTAGACCCTCAACACCGGAATGAAATCATGAGATCCCGCCCCCCACCCCTAAAAGCGACAGCAACCCTAGTCCCCTCAACCCTCAACCCCAGCACCCGATAACTAAGCCCGGCTTCGGGGCGGCTCGAGGTCGTGAAGCGCCACATCCCTGAAGCTCGAAAGATCACCGACATCGGTGCCGAGCTCTCCATGCAGGTTTGGCGGTGGGTGGGTTTAGGAAGTCGGATCGTATGCAGTTGCGGTTGCAGCATGTCCCAGGGAGCCGTGTCGTCGTCATCGTTTTCGTCAGAATCGAAATTGTCACCTCCATCACTGGCGGATGTCGAGCCGATGGGACCTGCAAGTTTGACCCGCAACAGACCTGCCATGAGTAGCATCGCCTTCCGGAGTGGCCGGACCCCAAAAACCGGGAAAGAAGCCACGCACAAGATGACCCTCACAGTCCAAAGCCCAAAGCCCTTTTACAACCACAGCCAACGCCAGCTTCCCTCGTCAAGTACCGGCTGCTTCCCGCCTCTCCTCAGTGAGCTCGACTCGCCATCCGGTCGCGGCAGGTTTGGGATTTGGGGCTCGGGTCTTCAGCACGTAGGGACTGTAACAGAGTTGTGTAACAACGAATGCAGTAGGGGCTGCGTCTCATCCTTCTTTGTTCCCAGCTGCTGAAGCTTTGCCTCATACATGCTGCTCTCACTTCCAACCTGCAACTCTCAGTTCCTTGCTTAGGTATAGAACCCCGATTAGAAATCACTTTGTGGATGATTGCACTATACCCAGACCCTAAACTCGAAGCCCCTTAGCCCTGCAGTACTAAGAGTATGCTTGTGCTCGGTGGAGGTTCGTGAGGGGAACTCACTGTGCATCCGATCGCAGGGCTTGCAGTTGAGGGTTGAGGGTTCAGGCGTTGCATTGAGAGTTTCGGGGGCGCGCAAAATCCCGAGGCGTGGCAAGGAGATCGGCATGGCCCACTATGGCCTCTCGATGGTGAAGCTCGAGGCTCCGGAAGTAGCTCCTAAACCCTTGCAGCCCTTGCAGCCCTCACAACCGAACCCTGAGGCCTCTTGAGACGTAGACGTGTGGCGGCTTGAAGGGGATTTTAGTGGGAGGGCTCTTAGGGACCTATAGGTTATGGAATCCTGAGCCTCAGGGGGTTTCAAGATCTTGGGGCAGGTTCGAGGGCTTGAGTGTTCAACGCCTCAGGCAGGGGCGGGAGGGGGGCTCAAAAACCCCGCTGCCTTTGATATGAGTTTCTTGATAAAGCCAATCAAAAGAGTGTCCCTTCTTCATCAGATCCTTCAGGGTTTTGGGGGTATTTTGGGCACGCGCTCACCCTGCAGAGGAGGTGTTCCTGAAGGTGGCCTCGGGAGAGATCGACAGCCTGGAAGAGGGCGCGCTGCCATGGCAACAAACTGGAGGCCAGTAAAGCTAGGTTTTGGGGTTTAGGGTTTCGGGTTTAGGGTTGAGGGCGGTAGGAGGTTGCTGCAGAGGTTCAGAGGCTTGGAGGTGTAGCTGCTCGGGTCTGCGGTGCGGGACTTGGAGGGCTTTTCTCACAGACATCCCACACCATAATTGTGCCCTCAAGCCCCTCCCACACAATGAACGCCGGGCTTTAATCAGAAGACCTCGAAACCCTAAACCCTAAACCTCCTACAGCTCGAAAGCCCAGACAACAACTCAAGCCCCCTACGCCCGCCCTGTAACAAATACCTAAGCGTCTACCAACAAACAGACCCTTTGAAGAACAAGTTCTCAAATCGATACACGCCATTACCTACAGTAAATGAACAACTCCCCCCCCCCCCCAACCTTTAAAGCAACACCTGTCAGCCACTGAGCTCAAAGCCCCAGCACCCCCCAAAACCCCGCAAACCCTCAACCTCCTCCCTCATCCCTCAACCCTCATCCCTCAACCCTCATCCCTCAACCCTCAACCCTCATCCCTCAACCCTCAAACACGAAACCCTAAACCCTAAACGCCAAGCCCCTCAGAGGTCTCCAGGGTTGGGCCGCCCAGAGGGCCACGGCGAGGCCGCGGCTGGCGCTGCGCCACTTGGGGGCGCCGGGGCACCCAGGGTTTTGAGGGTTTTTGAGGGTTTTAGGGGCTTTAGGGGTTTCAGGGTCTTTAGGGTGTTTAGGGTTTTTGAGGGTTTTTCAGGGTTTTAGGGGTTTCAGGGTTGAGGGTTTTTGAGGGTTTTAGGGGCTTTAGGGGTTTCAGGGTCTTTAGGGTGTTTAGGGTTTAGGGTTTTAGGGCTTTTAGGGTGTTTTAAGGGTTTTTGGGTTTTAGGGGTTTTAGGGTTTGGGGTTTAGGGTTTAGGGTTTATAGGCGTTCGGGTTTATGGGGTTTAGGGTTGAGGGTTGAGGGTTGGGGCTAGCGGCCTCCAGGGTCAAGCAGTCAGCTACTCGCAGCCCCAAACCCTAAGCCCTAAGCCCTAAACCCGAAACCTTAAACCCCAAACCCTAAGCCCTAAACCCTGAGCCCTAAACCCTAAACCCTAATCCTCTACGCCCTACAACCATCATCCTGGCCGTCCCCTAAATCGTACATTCTGCAGCCTCGGGTTTAGGGTTTGGAGGTTTTGGGGTTCAGGGGTTTCGGGCTTTAGGGGTTTAGGAGTTCATTCAGGGTGAAGGGTTAAGGGTTAAGGGTCAAGGGTGAAGGTTGAGGGTTAAGGGTGAAGGTTTAGAAGGGTTAAGGTTGACAAGATATTGGGTTGGTTTAAAGGTTGAAGTCGCCGCGACTTCAGGGGCCCTTTGAGCTGTGAGGAGTGGCTGCAGGCTCACCTGCTGAGCTTCTTCACCTGAGGTGTAGGGGCGGGGGTTTAGGGTTTAGGGTTTAGGGTTTAGGGTTTAGGAATTAGGGTTTCAGGTTTTGGCTTTACACGAAGAGATTGCAATCCAGCTGGCCAGGCTCTTCATGAAGCGCGCGCGGTATGGCCGGCGGGATGTGAAGGCCTTGGCGAAGCCCTAACCCCTAAACCCGGGTGGCTCCAAGTAAGGCAGGGGAGGGCACATGTTCCCCCGCAAAGCCCCGATGCATAGACGAAGCCCCAGCTTTCCTGCCGAAACAGCCCGGTCATTCGCTGGGTCAACGCCCCGACTAGGCCCTGGCCTGCACAGTCACCAGGCTGCAGGAAGACAGGAAGAGGCGCGCCCTCAACAGCCAGCAGGGTCCCCAAAAGATTCCTAAAACCCTCGTCTCCTATAGTCCCCCAAGAATATAGACCCCTGCTGACCTATTGAATGTTCCCCATAAAGTGTTTGCAGACTTTATACGAGGGGGAGGAGAACAACGACACATCATCGTGCAAACTCTCGGCCGCCGTACGACATAGTTCGGCCCGAAGCCCCTAAACCCTAAGCCCGAAACCCTCATCCCCTCTACCACACGGCCAACCTGCCAACACCCGCGTCCCCGTGCTCCGCAGCCTGCCTCGATTGGCGGGTTAGGGGGAGCCCTTTGCCTGGAGCCTTCGCCCAGAAGTTTAAGGTTAAACAGCCCTAAACCCTGAACCCTAGCTACTGAAAACCCCGAACCCGAATCCCGAAAAGCCCTGAAGCCCTAAAACCTTGCACCTGCAATCCTGAGCCCTAAACCCTAAACCCTAAACCCCAAACCCCAAACCCCAAACCCCAAACCCCAAACCCCAAACCCCAACCCTAAACCCCAAACACTCCTGAGCCCTGGGCCTCCGGTCTTTGAGCCCAGGTTCTGATGCCGGTGGCCTTGCTAGCTTTTGGCCTTGGCATCCTGAACATGCGACCCGGCAGACGGTCGATCAAGGGGCCTACTCCCCTCCCCCTCAGGGTTTTTTCACGTCAAAAAGCCCTTAGGGGGGGGGGGGTTCAATCTTAGGGGGAGGGGCCCATTGTGAGTGTAGGATGGGTAACTTTCGTAGAGTGGCTCCTCGTGTTTAGGAAGTAGCCTTTTTGCTGGGTCTTTCGGGGAAAACTAAGCTCAATTAGGATTCGAGTTGCTGTGACTTGGAGTCTCCAGTGAAAGTACCATATAACATATACCCCTTTTCAAGAGAGGCCTTGCGAGAGGAAGGCTTTGCGAAACGAAGGAAGTGTCCTTGAGTCCCGTCCTTCAGCCCACTATCTGTTGGTTGGCTCCAGGACACAAGCTCCTGAGTCTTTGCCCTCACCTCTCCACAGCGCCCTTTGCCCTTTTTGCAGCTCTTTTCGCCCCGCAAGGAAATCTGCCAGGAACAGCATTCGAAGGCTCCGCACCCTAAAGCCCCCGCATTCTAAACCTTCAAGAGCCCAGCGCCCGGCCCCCCCCCCCCCCCAAAAAAAAAAAAACGGGCCCCTAAAAACCCCGTAAACCCTAAACCCTAAACTGCGCACCCCTCTGCAGTGCACAGTTACAGAGTCTCTCCATTGCCGGTTTCTTGGGCTCTTGCATCGTTTTGTCTCCCTCTGGGTGTGTCGGATGCAAAGGCTGGGCGACCCCCAAGCGCCGAACCTGAAGCTCGGGGTCAAAAGTCAGCTCCTGGGCTCTCTTGAAAGGTTGGGGGTTTAGGGTTTGGGGTGTGGGGTTTAGGGTTGAGGGCTGAGAGTTTAGGGTTTATAGAGTTTAGGGTTTATAGGGTTTAGGGTTTGAAAGGGCTTGTCTGAAGGCTTCGTCTTTGGCAGGCTCAGGGCTTCGAACAAGCAGCCTTGCAGAGGTAAATCCAACAAAGCCGCAAGGCTCAGGGTTGGGATGATCACCGTTCTACGAACAGTCCTTGATGGGGATCAAAGTCTTTCCCGATTACAATCCCTAATAAGGACTGCTCTGCTAGTATCAGGGTGAACATCCCATAACATCCCAAGCTCAGGGGTTCAACGTTCATGAGTTCTGAAACCCCTGGCGGCACTGGGGCTGAGGACGGAGTCCTCAACCAGAAGGTTCAGAGATTCCAGAGATACGAGACCCCAAAATCCTACACCTTGAAGCGAACACTGAAGCCCAAAACCCTAAACCCTAAACCCTAAACCCTAAACCCTAAACCCTAAACCCTAAACCCTAAACCCTAAACCCTAAACCCTAAACCCTAAACCCTAAACCCTAAACGGCCCTAAACCCTAAACCCTAAACGGCCCTAAACCCTAAACCCTAAACCCTAAACCCTAAACCCTAAACCCCTAAACCCTTAAACCCTAAACCTTAGACCCCAAGGCCTGGTGCAGGGTTCAGCACCCAACTTGCAGGTTTGGTGCAGGCGCGCCCGTGCCCTTCAATTCTAGCCGCGGCTCCTTGGTACGACCCTTTGAGTGGATGAAGGGATTAGAGTTTAGGGCTGGGGGTTGAGGGCTTGGGGTTCGAGAGTTTGTTGGGACATGGGGTGTAGGGTTTGATTCGACTCCCTTTGTAGCCGAGCGCTAAAGCCTTAAAGCCCTAAACCCTTCAGACGCCAGCTCATTGGTTCTTCAGGGGAATTTAGCGAGTGGAGGGTTTAGGGTGGAGGGAGGCCTTCAGGTTCTTGGGAAGGATACATGCGTAGCAGAGGGCTCCCGTTTTAAGAGATGGGGTTCCGAGAGTTTACCCCCGTCATCGTGTGTTTTGTGTTAGAAAGCGTTCGAAAGCGCACGAAAGTGTTCGAAAGTGCTCGAAAAACCCCGGCGTTTTGGCATCGCTTTGGGCTTTCTATGCGCTTATAAACGTGCCGACCGTCATGGGGATGAGGCCATTCAGCTGTGCCTCCGTAACTGCCATCTTGGGCTATGGTTGCCTCTCAAGAAGTACAGTCACGAGGAGATGAGGCATGTGCGGTACGAGGATGAGGCACGCGGGGAGCGCCGTCCTCGTGGCGGTATTCGCTTTGGAACCTTGGTTTGGTGGTCGCGCCTCAAAGTGCAAAAGAGAACAGAGAACGATAAGGAGACAGAAGAGAGAGAGAGAGAGAGAGCGAGAGAGAGAGAGAGAGAGAGATGAGAGAGAGATGAGAGAGAGATGAGAGAGAAATGAGAGAGAGAGATGAGAGAGAGATGAGAGAGAGATGAGAGAGAAATGAGAGAGAGATGAGATGTGAGAGAGCGAGATGCGACGAGAGAGAGAGGGGGGGGGGAAATACAGAGAGTCGGATAAGACTCTTCACTTCGGATCTCGTGTCGTGCGCCGCCACCTTTTTTGTTCGCCGTGTACGTGACACGTGTCCGCATTCCGGGTCGTGGCCCCCTAGGAATTCTTTTGGTCCCTTGGTTTGTGGCGTCCTCGTGTTCGCACCCGGGCAACCCAAAACCCTTACCAACGCTGAGGCCCTGAGATCCTTACTACCCTGAAGCCAGCCGAGAAGGCAAACCCTGAGACCCCAACTTCAAGCCCCAAGCCCAGATTCTACGACCTTAACCCTGCAGACATAGAGTAAACGTCTGAAAAGTAGCCGTCTATCTCTAGTAGGTTTTTATAGGGATCGCAGGGGGGGCTACTTTCCGAACCTCTCTTCAAGACCCAAAGCCTGCAACCCTCGACCCTGTCAGCCCGGTTTCTTCTCCCCGCAACGGAGGCGACGAGGCCCCGCTGCTGGCCGAAAGCCTGCGGCAGGCACGAGGGCTTCGGGCATCAAGGCACCCTACTTGAGGGGCCAAGGACTTCAAGGGGGCTTCGGGCCTTTTAGGGTTTAGGTTTAGGGTCTAGGGCTTCATTAGGGGGCGGGGGGTGGCCTTCGGCTTCAAACGCAACAAAAGCCACTTCTTGCTTCGAAATCATACAGGGTCGCGGCCCTTTCAAAGGGCAACCCCCAGAATCCAAGACCAGTCCAAGACCTAAAGTAGCTGACAACTCAACCCCGGCCTCCCCAACTCAACCCCAAACCCCCCAACTCACGCCAAACCCCCCAAACCCTAAGCCCTCAGCCCTAACCCCTAACCCCCCCTACGAGTTCACTTCCCACGTGGTTCTTGGGAAGGTGAATGTTAATCAGCGCGAGGGTTTTGGTCAAGAAGCCGTTTTATGTTACTTGGGAGGACATAGGTCTTGTTGTGTTGTCTTGTTTGCACACTGTGAGAAGCAGGAGTAACTGTTGAGGAGTAGTCAGAGCGAATAAAAGTAAGTCACTTGTAATGGAGTTGATCCGGCGATGGCTCCTGTTGCACGCGCTCACACATGTGCTGTTACTGCGACTTGCCGGGGCCTCTTGGCGATCATTCGGAGCACCGCTGGAGGCATTTTGGCGAATTCCTATGCTGGAACTAGATGGCCATCACGATGCGCCGTGTCTGTTATCATCCAAGCGTTTTTGCCGTATTATGAGGGCGTAGATCTAAACGTGTGAAAGCAATCAAGTGCTGTCATGTCTTCAGGTGAAGAGCTTTGGATTGGACGTAATTACCCCTCCCCCCCCTGCCCACCCCACCCCCACCCCCCGCAACCCTAAAACGTTTTTTGCGAGCAAAGATTGCACAGGACAGCCGACAGCACGTCAAACCGTACGGCACCTGCAGCATTTTTGTGAGAGGCGACAGAAACCGTGAAAACGTGCTTGCGCTTTGCAGCTGGTGCAAAACGCAAGCACGGAAGATTTCCGCAGATACACCTCTTGGGTCCGTGGGTTCCCGCATGAGTAAAAAACCATGTAACAAACCGATGCTTTTGAAGCATTTTGGACAACAAGCCGGGGCCTTAGCTGACAGTGTGAGCCTGCAACCCGTGGAATCCCCACGTTGCAACTGAACCCGTCAGCCTAACCCTACACCCCAAACCCTAAACCCCAAACCTTTGTCATAGTGGGATAACATTTTAAATTTTCAAGGGTACTTAAACTCAATAAGAATAAAATTTTGAATTTTTATTACTATCCCAACTATGAACCAGTAATCCTGAACCCCAAACCCTAAACCCTAACCCCCAAACCCTAAACCCAAACCCCAAACCCCAGAACATCCTCAGCCGCCCTGCAGGCTGCCGCCGTCCCTGCCCCGCAGCAACTCGTGGAAGGCCGCTGGGAAGAGAACAGTCCCCAGGGTTTAGGGTTTAGGGTTTAAACCCTACAAGCCCTAGACCCTGAACTTGGCAGGCACTGCAGACGGCGTGATCTTTGGCCGTAACTACTCCGACGGTCGGCCCGTCTACGAGCCCCGTCTGCTTTGAGCAGAGTGTCTGGGACTCCTTGGTTTGGGTGTTTGGGTGTTTGGGCAGGGGGGGGGGTCGGTGGGCAACTCTCACCTCACCCATCTCAGAAGTTAGCCGTGCAGCCCAGTTCCTTCCTCCTTGAAAGCTGGGCAGATGCTGGCAGAGCGTTTGCCTCAGGGCTGAAATGGATGATTTTGGATCGGCTCTGAAGAACCCCCGGCAACAGCAGCTTCCTCAGATTCGTGCTGCTGATTGAGCGCTGCTGATTGAGCGTATTGAAGCTCAAATCACAGGTGAACAGCAGCACCAAAAGCCCTGCGCAGCAGACGCCCCCCACCACGCAGAGTAGGAACGATGGTCTCCCCAGGCGCCTTTTTTCTTCTTTCTCTCTCAACCCTTGGGAGCTCTTGTTGGGCATCTGGGGGTTTCCGAAAATTTTCGTACCCTTTTTTGGGGGGGGGGGGGGGTCTGTTTAGGGGGATTCTCTTCTATCTTGGGGTACAAAAAAGGGGTACCCCCTAGTTGGGAAGATGCCCATGTCAGGAGTGGTGCGAGATGGAGGAGTCCTTCTTGTCCAAGTGCTGGAAGGACTCACAGCGGGACTTGGGATGGGTTTCTAGCTTGCCCCCAAGAGTCCTTTGCAACCTCACGCCAAGGCCCCCCTAAACCCTAAACCCGAAATCCTAAAAGCTCTACATCTAAATCCTTTGAAAACAAACCCCATATGGGCAGGAGAACAACTTGTGTCATGGCCTCCGCCCTTTCCTCGAACTTGCCAGCACCTGACTGCAGTGGGCGTTCGTCTGGTTTTCTGCTAGAAGACCACAGGGAAGTTAAACACATGTGATTAAGCATGCTCGTTATGTTGTAAGAGGAGTGACGTCGTATGGGGTCCAGTATTTCTTTGGGGTTGCTTATTTCATTTTTCTTACCCTGTGTCAGGGTTTTGGGTCTAAGGTGTCGGATCTTGGGAATTGCAGCGCGTTGAAGATTCCAGGATTTGCGGGTTTTTGAGCTTGGCTTGCATGGCAAGCAGCGTAAAGGGTCTCAGGGTGCAGGCCCCCAAAACCAGAAACCTCGAACCCCAGGCAAAGTCGAGATGGACATCACCTGTGCTTCAGACAGTGCCGGCTGCAAGGCGGCCATCGCCACGGCATGCCAGGACCTGCCCCCCCCCCCCGCCGTCCCCCGCCCAAGAAGCAAACGCCCGGATGGCAGAGTAGACTAGTCCCCATATGATCTCCAGGCATCTCAAAAGTCTCTTTTGTCTCCTTTGTTTCCCTTTGTCTCCTTTCATGTGGGTGGCTTTGCGGGGTTGCTGTGCTCCTCGTCTCCCTTTGTCTCCCTCGTCTCCCTTTGTCTCCCGTTGTCTCCATTGTTGACGTGCCTTTGACTTGTAATGCCCCGAACCCTAGGAATAAAAGACCCAATGCCCTAAAAGCCCAAATGCCCCTCAAGAGCCCAAACATTCCCAAAAGAGCCCCAAAAGAGCCCCAAAAGAGCCTCAAAAGAGCCAAAGAGCCTTGAGGGGCGGGCACGAAGTGTCAGAGACTTTGGGTGCTCAGGACGGCGCGGCACAGTGCACCAGTACTTGCCTCTCGAAGGTGGATGACTTTTTGTTCTCTTTCGGGTTGAGGTCCCAAACCCCAAACAGGAAGCCGAAACCCCTAGCCCTAAACCCTAAACTTGCCCTAAACCCGAAACCCTAAACCCTAAACCCTAAACCCTAAACCCTAAACCCTAAACCCTAAACCCTAAACCCTAAACCCTAAACCCTAAACCCTCAACACTAAAGCCCCTCTAGAAGACCCCCGCTGCAGAGGCCGACGTGTCCCCAGGAATCTGCCGGTCGCAGTGCCGACAGGTGGGGGATGAGTCGGACTTTCGGTTTGAGGTGTAGGGTTCAGGGTTCAGGGTTCAGGGTTCATTGTTTAGGGTTTAGGGTTTAGGGTTTAGGGTTTAGGGTCTAGGGTTTAGGGTTTAGGGTTTAGGGCTGTTTGTCTTGAGTTTTGTTTCGGGTTTAGGGATTTTTTCTAGGGTTTAGGATTCAAAGGCCACATCCGGGCTTGCTGAAGCGTTTTGAGGCTTAGCAGGGTACCGGGCCTTGAGGCGAGAGATTAGAGGGTTTAGGGTCTAGGGTTTAGGGTTTAGGGTTCAGGAGAGGCCTTTGGGGGGTTTCAGGGTTTGGGGTTTCGGGGTATTGGAGTTGCAGCCCGTTAGGGTTTAGGGGTTTTAGGGTTTAAGGGGACTAGGGGTTTGGGGGGGTTTAGGGGTTCAGAGGCTTAGGGGTGTAGGGGTTTAGGGCTTGAGGGGTTTAGGGGCTTATGGGGCTTATGGAGGCTGTTTTTGCGGGGTCTCGATAAGGGCAGCTTCTGCTGTCAACGCCCTTCCTGTGCCGCAGATCTGCCTGCTGGCGCCGAACTTCACCCAGGTGCACTGCGAGGGTTTAGGGTTTAGGGTTTAGGGTTTAGGGTTTAGGGTTTAGGGTTTAGGGTTTACAGTTTAGGGGTTTGGGGTTTAGAGGCAGGTTTCGGGTTTGGGGTCCGCCTCTTCAATTTCAGAGCAGAGTCCCTTGCCTTGGTTTCTTTGTACGGGTTTGTAGAAGGGGTTTGAGGCCCGTGCCCCAAGATTAAATCCTACCCTCTGAGAATAACCCTGGCGTGTATGAATGTATATATATATATTTTTTTTGTGTGGGTGCGTATACTTACTGTGATTATGACTAGAAGAAAAGTTTCGGGGCATGCAACGCCACATGAGAAACCCCAAGCGCTTAGGTTCGTTCGTAAGCCTTGCAGAAGGTTCCTGCTGTAGGATTCCAAGCTATTGACAGCCCTAAAGTCCGATCCTCACCTGCACTCTGCAGGTCACTTGCAATATCCCCCCCCCCCCCCCCGCCCCTCGGCAGGCGTGCGACCTGCTGCAGCCCCCGATCGCCCCGACCATCGCCTCCGTTTGCCCTGTTGAGTGTGCTTCTTCCGCCGACCCATCCACCTGCCTCGCAGCTGCAAGACGGAAGACAGGGTTTAGGATTTGGGGTTTAGGGTTTAGTGCTTGGAATCACATTGACGTTTAGCCATGGGATTTCAGCCAGGCAATTAACCCTAAACCCCACACCCTAACCCCAAAAAGCAACCCTTCCAAGAACTGTCTGACTTGGGTTGCAGCTGTCTTGTGGGATGTGTACCCAGAGAACGAGTGCGGAGTAGCGTCCGTTCCACCTGTCCGACATCCACGGCCAGAACTTGGGAAGATTCCTCGGGCAGTTGACCCCAAACTCCTGCACTCCAGAAACCTCAGCCCTCAATCCAGAATCGTCGGGGAGTTGCTGGGATCCCGGTTCACGGGGGGTGTTTGCGGGAGTTGCGGGGTTCTTAACAGAAACCTCCCAAAGACACGCATCCCCCCGACTTGAGTCTCCACCCCATCCCGGAACTCAGGAGGTCCAACTCAAATCTCCTCAAACCCTGCACGCCAAACCCCTTCAAGGAAACCCCTAACCCAAAGAGCCGACAAGCCAAAGTCAAAAAGACCTCAAGCTCTTCAAGCCCAAAGCCCCAAACCTCAAGCCCGAAACCCCTCCATCGCCACACCAGGCCGGCCCGGGACCGTCTGCGAGGCCCCGGATCCTGCACCGGCCGCCGACCCTTCGGCACTGCCACTGGTCCCCGAATGGTTGTCCTAAGCAAGCCTACGTGAACATGTCAGGGCACACATCCTTTAGGGGCCCAAGCTGATAACTTCGAAGCCTTTCTGCAAGGCTTGAGATGTCGACGCTCATCTTCGGAGAAGGCCGGGTTTTAGGGTTGCCCGGCTCGCGGGCCTTACAGGCTGTTTAGGCCAATGCCCTCGATGCCTCCTGCAGCATTGGAAGCTTCTTTCGATGGCATGGCTTTGCGCCAGCCCAAGCCCCGCCCCGCCCCCTGCCAGGACAGCAGATCTCGCGCAGACAAAACGTCCGAAGCGCGGCTTCAATCTTGGGGGCCGTGGCTGGGTCCAGGGAGTCTAGGGTGTACCTAAGCCGCAAACCCCCCTTTTTTCCTGACCCAAGCTCCGAAGCTTCAGCTCACGAGATCCTGGTGCGTGAGCCTAAGATATGGGGTTCCTCTGGGATAAGGCTCTCGTAAGCCGACTGTTACAGAACTGCTCGAATATTCCCTCAAAAGCCCCCCGTCTTAGGATCTGTAGGTTTTTTTTGGGTGGGCGTAACGCTGAAGAAGTGCTGTGGAGGCTTAGGTTTTTGGGTTTTAGGGGTTTAGGAGGTATGGAGTTGAGGGGTTTAGGGGGCTTGCAAGGTTTTCAGGAAAAATCTGGTGGTCTTTTGGGGTCATGGTTCTCCTCATCATCAAAGCCTGGCCATGTATCGCAGGGCGGAGTCACTCGAAGTCTGCAAGCATATGCCGGCCTTTTGTTTGGCAAGCTCATGAGTTTCCAAGCCTCTAGCTACAAGCCTTGAACTTCCAGGGTTTCAGGACCCCCAAAACCCTAAATCCTAGCCCACGAGGATATGGCGCCTTCATGACAAGCTACAACAGCTCCACCGGCAGCTGCGCTGAAGGGAGAGGGGTCATTTTGGACCGCGTAAGGGAGTCATTTTGGAACGCGTAAAGGGGTCATTTTGGAACGCGTAAAGGGGTCATTTTGGAACGCGTTTCTCTTGGTTTAGTACTGTTTACAAGGGATTTCTGGTTTCAATGGTTTCCTTGGTTTCCTTGGTTCCCATGGTTTCCTTGGTTCCCATGGTTTCCTTGGTTCCTATGGTTTCCATGGTTTCCGTGGTTTCTATGGTTTCTATGGTTTTCTATGGTTTCCTTAGTTTCCTTGGTTTCCATGCTTTCCTTTGTTTCTGTGGTTTTCATGGTTTCCGTGGTTTCCTTGGCTTGTGTGGTTTCCATGGTTTCCGTGGTTTCTATGGTTTCTATGGTTTTCTTGGTTTTCTTGGTTTCCTTGGTTTCCTTGGTTTCCTTGGTTTCCTTGGTTTCCTTGGTTTCCTTGGTTTCTATAGTTTCTTTGGTTTCTACGGTTTCCATGGTTTCCATGGTTTGCATGGTTTATATGGTTTCCATGGTTTCCTTGGTTCCTTGCTTCGTGGTGTCCATGGTTTCCTGGACTTGTGTTATATATATATATATTGCTAGATATATATAGGTACTTATTTCATGGACGACATACATGTAAGAAATATAGTATGTATATATACTCGATATATAGTCTACATAGTATACATATATAGCGTTTATAGTATATATAAATATGATATATAGGAAATACAGTACATACAGTATATATAGTAGATATAGTATATCTGGAATACATAGTACAGATAACAAACAAAAAAAAATATATATATATATATATGGTCACACCCCCCCCCCCCCCATGATCCATATGTATCCTTTTCTTGCTTGTCCTTCTGCACCTGTGCTTATTTGCACATATGGTTGATGTGAAAAAACACCGGTATTTACGATACTTTCGTGTCTTGCCATGTCTGAAGCTACAACTTGCTATTGATTATCTACACTTTTAAACAACAGAAATCTACAAACAGAATCCGTTTCTGGATTTGGTTTTGTGTGGTTTGCTAATCTCTGTTATTCACTCTATAGTAGCTTCCAATATACACCTTCTTGAACTTCAACAATATTCATTGATTAGATAAATATTACCTTATAAACCATTGTATAATGCATGAACATAAAAGAAGAGATGAAGGGGTTTCAAATAAAGCACCTAACACAAGAAGCAGACTACATAATGAAGTTAGAGACGAATTCGCAAAGACAGAGACATTCTTAACGGACACGCACGGGCTTAAATTAGCGTATGAGAATCCTGACGGGATATATCAAAAATGGTTCTATTTTATACATTGCTGGGACTAAAAGCTGTAGAGATGTTTATGGTGATTGAAACCTTCCTTTATATAAGACGCAACTGACTCAGTGTTATAAAGATGTAGATAAGTTCATTCAAGATGGTGTTTATTGAAATAGACGGTTAAAGAAAAGAAGAAACTGGAATTTCTGGAATTGTAAGTCACAGTTTAGGTTCAGCATCGGGACAACAAATGAATTATGGGAATGTATTCAGAAGTCGTAGCTATGGTTCTCCTTATGTATCAGGACAACGACCAGAAGACACTGGGACAAAACATATGAATACGGAAAGTAGAAGACCCCGTTAGTATGTTTGAAAAGGAAGTATAACATCAAAGAAATCAACATTAGACCCTCTACAAAAACATCCTTATGAAGATATAGGCAATATTAAAAACAAAGCAGGACATCTACCTATGACCGAAGAAGAGTTTTTAACAACAGTTTGATGCCATAATCATTTCATAAGAAAGCAACAACATACGAACAAATAGAGACATCGAAGATAGAGAAGCAATTTAAACAACATGCTTACGAAGAGATAAGAAAGTTAGTTGAGAATAATTAAGTAGATGATTAAGCAGGTGAAAGGTAGGAAGAAGAACAATAGTAAGACACTTCATATAGTTTTGAACTACTTGATTGAATACAAGTTGAAGGTATGTATATGTAATCAAATTTTCTATGCTATTTATATATCATGGAAACTTTTAGTCCCGCAGATATCCTCATTGATAGTTTAAGTTTTCTTTGACACAAAGGTAGTTCTTATGTTAATTGTCAAGGGTTTAAGACCAAAACGATTGTTGGATTTAAACCATTGCGTGGCCTCTTCTCACAAGTTAGATATTTGCCGTCAAAACATATGGGAAACTTACCAATTGAAATAGAATTGGTAACTAATGCTACTAATTGCATCAATTACCGCAGTCAGAATATCAAGAGATTTCGGGAAAACTCGAGCCGGCTCGAATTTTCCGAAAAATCTCCAGGCACCAGGTCACCACAACTCGAGCAGGCTCGAATTTTCCAAAAAAAACCTACATTCTGTCATCTATGAGACCTTGGGGTCACACAGCCATGGTTTCAGCATATGTTTTAGAAAATTCGAGCCGGCTCGAATTTTCCGAAAATTCTTGAAGCTCCAAGTCTCGAAAACTCGAGCAGGCTCGAATTTTCCAAAAAAAACCTAAATTATGTCATCTATGAGGCCTTGGGGTCACACAGCTATGGTTTCAGCATTTTTTTTAGAACACTCGAGCCGGCTCGAATTTTCCGAAAATTCTTGAAGCTCCAGGTCTCGAAAACTCGAGCAGGCTCGAATTTTCCAAAAAAAACCGAACTTTCAGGATCTACCGGGCTGCTGGAGCCATAGATCCTGAAATTTTGTTTTTTTTGGAAAATTCGAGCCTGGTCGTGTTTCGGCAATCTACTGTGTCAGTTTTTTTTGGAAAATTCGAGCCGGCTCGAATTTTCCTAAAATTCTTGAAGCTTTAGGTCCCAGAAACTCGAGCAGGCTCGAATTTTCCAAAAAAAACCGAACTTTCAGGATCTACCGGGCTGCTGGAGCCATAGATCCTGAAATTTAGGTTTTTTTTGGAAAATTCGAGCCTGGTCGTGTTTCGGCAATCTACTGTGTCAGTTTTTTTTGGAAAATTCGAGCCGGCTCGAATTTTCCTAAAATTCTTGAAGCTTTAGGTCCCAGAAACTCGAGCAGGCTCGAATTTTCCAAAAAAGCCTAACTTTCAGGATCTACCGGGCTGCTGGAGCCATAGATCCTGAAATTTAGGTTTTTTTTGGAAAATTCGAGCCTGCTCGTGTTTGGGCGACCTACTGTGTCAGTTTTTTTTGGAAAATTCGAGCCGGCTCGAGTTTTCTAAAAAAGCATGATTTTTTCGGGTATTTTTCTACCTTGTTGGTGTAAATGACCTGCCTGACTTGAAATGATATAGGTTTTTATCGGCCCTGTCGGTGTTTTTGTCGCTAGCTCATAGCCCCCTCTCCTCCCAAGATCCATCTGTTTCGAAGCAGAAACGTGGATCATGGGGGGGGGCGTGAGCATATATATATATATATATATATATATATATAGTACATCATATATATATATATATGTATATTATAGTAAATCTATATATACATATACACATAGTATATAGAATATATATAGTTTATATAAGATATATACATATGCTACCCCCCCCCCCCCCCCCAACCCCCCGGCTTTGTTTAAGCCGTGCAAGCTTGCTTCAAAGCATATAAAACTTTTTTTGAAACCCATCATGCAAGCATTGTGTTTGCAAATGGGGGGGGCTGCCCCCCCCCCCAACCCCCCCGCTTTTTTTAAGCCGTGCAAGCTTACTTCAAAGCATATGAAACTTTTTTTGAAACCCATCATGCACGCATTGTGTTTGCAAATGGGGGGGCTGCGCCCCCGCCAACCCCCCCGCTTTTTTTAAGCCGTGCAAGCTTGCTTCAAAGCATGTGAATCTTTTTTTGAAACCCATCATGCAAGCATTGTGTTTGCAAATGGGGGGGGCTGCGCCGCCCCCAACCCCCCCCCCTTTTCTTAAGCCGTGCAAGCTTGCTTCAAAGCATAAACTTTTTTTGAAACCCATCATGCAAGCATTGTGTTTGCAAATGGGGGGGGCTGCGCCCCCCCCCAACCCCCCCGCTTTTTTTAAGCCGTGCAAGCTTGCTTCAAAGCATATTGAAACTTTTTTTGAAACCCATCATGCAAGCATTGTGTTTGCAAATGGGGGGGGGGGCTGCGTAAGCCGTGCAAGCTTGCTTCAAAGCACATGAAACTTTTTTTGAAACCCATCATGCAAGCATTGTGTTTGCAAATGGGGGGGGCTGCGCCGCCCCCAACCCCCCCGCTTTTTTTAAGCCGTGCAAGCTTGCTTCAAAGCATAAATTTTTTTGAAACCCATCATGCAAGCATTGTGTTTGCAAATGGGGGGGGCTGCGCCCCCCCCAACCCCCCCGCTTTTTTTAAGCCGTGCAAGCTTGCTTCAAAGCATATGAAACTTTTTTTGAAACCCATCATGCAAGCATTGTGTTTGCAAATGGGGGGGGGCTGCGCCCCCCCAACCCCCCCGCTTTTTTTAAGCCGTGCAAGCTTGCTTCAAAGCATATGAAACTTTTTTTGAAACCCATCATGCAAGCATTGTGTTTGCAAATGGGGGGGGCTGCGCCCCCCCCAACCCCCCCCCTTTTTTTAAGCCGTGCAAGCTTGCTTCAAAGCATATGAAACTTTTTTTGAAACCCATCATGCAAGCATTGTGTTTGCAAATGGGGGGGGCTGCGCCCCCCCCCCAACCCCCCCGCTTTTTTTAAGCCGTGCAAGCTTGCTTCAAAGCATATGAAACTTTTTTTGAAACCCATCATGCAAGCATTGTGTTTGCAAATGGGGGGGCTGCGCCCCCCCCAACCCCCCCGCTTTTTTTAAGCCGTGCAAGCTTGCTTCAAAGCATATGAAACTTTTTTTGAAACCCATCATGCACGCATTGTGTTTGCAAATGGGGGGGGGTCTGCGCCGCCCCCAACCCCCCCGCTTTTTTTAAGCCGTGCAAGCTTGCTTCAAAGCATAAACTTTTTTTGAAACCCATCATGCAAGCATTGTGTTTGCAAATGGGGGGGGGCTGCGCCCCCCCCAACCCCCCCGCTTTTTTTAAGCCGTGCAAGCTTGCTTCAAAGCATATGAAACTTTTTTTGAAACCCATCATG